GAGTGAGTGAGTGAGTGAGTGAGTGAGTGAGAACAGTATCCTGCATAAACAGTCTTTTAGGTATTTAGCAATGATAATCCAACAGTAATATCTTTCATATTTCTTTGAAAATGTTCTAAACATGATAAGTGTAGGCATGTGTTAGATTTCGATCATAGTGTCCAATAATTCTGCCCATATTTATGGAAGCATATAAACCATGTCAACTACATGTACTACACATGTAACAGGGCATGTTGAGGGACTACTTTCGTTTTAATAGGCCGATCTAATAAGGTCATAATAAATTATTAGAATTTCATTCACTTGTTTTAAATTGTTAGATGGGAATCATTTTATTTATTTATAAACTAATGAATAATTTTTTGTGGCTAAACTTCACAATTTTTTAAAGACAAAAGCCTTCTAGAAATGATGAGCAAATATTTTTTGAGGTTGGGAGTGAGTAGAGACTGCACGATGCTGGCAGGTGATTAGCCTCCACTCCTACAAGCAGAGCTGATGGAGTCCTATATACAGAGAGAAGTAATCTATCTCATCCACACAACCTAGTTACCAATTCATTTTATTCACACTGTGACTAATGGTCCTGGCACGCTACATTATTTCACAATAGGCTGGCAGACAACTAAATCATTAGAATTAAATAGCTTCCATGCACCGAATGTGACAATACATTTCTACCAGGCTAAATGACAGCCTCCCACACTACAGTAGATACTGATCTAGTAACTGAGAGATTTGTGTCTTGTACTAACGTAATGCTAGGCTAACATCTGGTATATTACATATTTTACAGTTAAAAATAGTTATCAAATTATCTTAATATATGGTAATGTAATAACAAGAAAACAGTGTTATTACTACCCCTCACCATGGAGCACAATAGAATTCTGTTTGATCATAAACTTGTGAATATTAACTATAAAAAGAGTCCTATAAAGCCTTTAGAGAGATAGGCACTTGGGCTGCTTTTCGTCATCAGAAAAAATGATGAAATGTGAAATTAATACACACAAAAGGCCCCTTCCCTGGAAAAAAATAACTCAGTCTTGATAAGTATCTTTTAGATAAGTTTACTTCAGTAGTTGTTGAGGAAAGTTGTCACCATTTTACACAGGATGCAAGTTGAAAAACTTGGGGCAAGATCCATCTCTGTAAAAATGAATTTACAACATCCAATGAAGTTAACATCCACAAATTCTCTTTCTTATGTGCATCACTTGTAAATGCCTTTCAAAGACATCATAGGGCCTGACTTGTCAGCCATAATCCCCATGTTTGTTTCACTCCATGTCCTTTATATTTCACTCCACCAACTTTACATTTACCATGTTTAACAGATCACTGAAAAAATGGCTTTTGTAATTTTACTTCTTATATCAGTTTCACTCACCTACCAATTTGAAAAACAGCATCCGCAAAGCAAGAAGTTAAAAGGCAATGTTCTCAGTACACAGATGAACACTGACGGAGCTCCAGATAATTGTTGAGCCATTGAGGATTTATACACAAGTTATCATTCACGTTGGATATTGATAGTTTTCACTGAGTTCAATATATTTTTCTCCCCTGGGTCTAGTATTTCACAACAATGAGTAAACATGTTTCTTAACAATTCTGCTAAAGATGCTGCTTCAGGTGACTTTTAGTTTGGATCTGGTCATGTCTGCCCCATGTGTGTAACATGTCTCACAACAAAACATACATGACTCTTAACAACAAGAGGGACATAGCACCATTTTTATTCATTATATACTGCAGTAGAGTTCATGTCTGTTTGTGCATTTGATCACTAAATAAAGATCTATAGGGAAATACAGATACTCAAGTTGACAAGTGAGTGAGTGAGTGAGTTGGGTTTAACACCGCTTTTAACAGTATTCCAGTTATGTCATGGTGCGTCAGCTTAATGTGGGAGGCAGGCCCGAAGTGATGCAGGTCTCAGACGTTTACCACTTCGGTGAAACCCACGAGCATGGGTATGGTGTTGACAAACCTAGAAACATAATCGGGGCGAACCAGGATTCGATCCCACAATCATTAGGTTTCTGGTGTGCCCAATGGACGCAACTCTGCACAGCGAATCGTGGCGCCCTAGACGACTGGGCCACCCATGCCCCCTCAAGTTGAAGAGGATTCATTGGGGAATTCTGTACAATGTTGTTATATTAATAGGTTCTTGAACATTTTCATGTGTATTTATACCCAAGCAACTCAAAACTAATTGGGTGATGGTGATTTATTTTGCAATTTCTACGCAAATTGACAGTGGAGCTTTGCACTGACCTTCAGACTGATGGGAATTCCTATGAGCAGAGATCATGAATACATGGATATGGCCTCCGGTGTGGGTCATGTTACAAACTATCAGTGATATTACCAGAAATAGAGGGTGTAAGGTGTTTCAGGAACACCCAACTCACAAACCTACCCGAAACTCTTGACAGGTTGTTTGCTTCACATGTGAAGTATCTGTAAACATCTTCACCACAAGAATCTCATAATATCCTTATGCGAAATGAATATCTGCATATTTGCAATTTCTGTCCTTTTTCAAATTTGACCACGATGAAGTCGGTCCTATTTCCCCAACACATTTGTAACACCATAAAAATGGCAATATCGAACACTTCAATCATGTCAACATCACAAACTTGACAATGTTTATTGTCATGAATAAAATACCCAGTCGACTGGACATCCACCACAAGTAAAAAAACACTTGGCTTGCTTCACATTTCTTATATCAACAATGTATTTTATTACTTCAAAATGGATTCACATATTGAATATTTTTCAAACTCTGCAGAGTGGGCCTCTGCCTAAGTACAAGGCAGTATATCCTATCGACAAATCTATCTTCACATTGTACTACTGAGACTGGACTACCAACCAACACATTCCCATCGGGGCAGTGCAGAGATCACGTCCTATTGCAATCTGAGACGGTTTTAGCCAATGGCCTCAAAATAATCTGTGATAGATTGAGTCAGAATGTCATATCCGCCAAAGTGCGTATCGTTCTGCTTTATAGGATTTCAGAGATGTTAATTATTGCAATCAGTGGCACGTATCAACCCATGACAATCTGGGCAAGCAATGCTCATCTTTCATTACGACGATGAGACAATAAATCGCAGACCTAATCCTCTCACTGACTTCATTCCAATAAGTGTGGCGATGTATTAAAAGACTCACGCTCTCTAACAATTTCTTCCAGCAGTGATTGTTTCACATGTATGTGGCGTTATCATAAACTATTTCATGTACCGGTATTTATGACAAAGTTTACCTTGATGGGATCTGGGTTCACAGCTTGTGGGGTCAAGTTAAGTGTCACTTCTGTTGCAGTAATACTGACTGAAGCATCAGGAGATATCACTGTTACAGGCGGCCGTATTGGTTAAAAATCTATCTTTTATACTTTTTATACAGGAATAAATTATGCTGCGATCACAAAACCAAAAACTGTTTGTTTGCCTAAACAATAATTGTTTCCAAAACATGATTGACATGAATATGATGACATGAAACATTCTTGTTAAATTTTCATTTTCTCAGGAACATAACCAAACGTATTAATTTATAGTAATGATACTATTAACTCAATTCTCATTCAACCATTTTGTTGTAACAGAAACCATGGAAACTAACAGTGATATCAAACACCAAAGATTTATTTGTTGGTAGTTAAATTTAATCAAACTAAAAATCAAATTCTTGAGGCCAATGTTTCCTTAAAAAGTGATTGATGTCTGGTGGTAGGAATAGGAGACACAGCTATACATAATTCCTTTAAAAAAGCTGACAGGTGTCTGATAGCCAAATAAATATAAAACTTTCTGTAAATTTTATTAAGTGATGTATATGAATATTTTAATGTTTTTCTGGACCTTCCTATGTGTATGGGAATCCTAATTTCCTTCATCATATCAAAACAATGTTCTCGACAGGTTATTGTTACATGTCACAACAGTGAATCTTATTGGAATGAATCAGTGCTTGATTAATTACACTATTCAATGCATGAGAGAGGGAGTAAACTCTAGATTACATTTAATTAATCTCATGCTTGAGTGGAAACTTATTCGACAAGTCTGTCTAAGGTTTACCGCTCTGTACCTATACTGGCACCATAATAGATTTAACCAAGTGTAACACTCATTCAATAAACAGTGAAATAAACAGAACAATTCAATTTGCAATCTTTCATCTTTTTTCATCCAGGAAACAAAACTGACATCAGGGGCACCTCCCCTCAAGGCTCAATTCCAGGAAACAGAACAACCTCAGTGTCAAGAGGTTATAGAACGTACACCCATCAAGTCTTCCTTGAGAGGCAATGGTTGACAAAAGGTGCAGTTATCGGTACAGGGCATGTATATATCCATATATCTACCTGGCATATCCTGGTATGGGGATACCTCCCATTATTTATCAGTACTTAACAACGTATGCACTTGAATGGCCATATAAATACTCATTGCGGGTTAATGCAATTCTGTCATATCCAGGATGCGTTCTTTGAATTTTGAAAAAATAAAAAAGGAAGATCTTGATCTATACAACACATACTATGCACACCTACTCATATCCAAATTATATAAAAAATAAATATCATATATTTAAAGTAATTATCAGAAAAACTTCAACTTGTCAAATTCCCGTTTCAGTTGATAAACGCAGTGAATACAAAAGTTGGCAAACTGGTTATTGTTCTTGACATTCTAAATTCTAATCAAACGACCATCTGACAGGATTAATCTGAAACTTGCATAAAAATGTGTTATAAATCAAACAGGCAAAACAACACATTTAATAAAGAAAGAATGAATAAGTAAAGTTAGGTTTTAATTTATTAAATGATGAATTAGATAATGCGTTTCTGTCACGTCTTTCAGGCGATACAAAAACATTGAAACACAATGTGACACATGTAACACTTTCGAACAATACATATATGTTAATAACGTGGTATAATGATGAATATCACTCACCGATATCTTTAGAGTTGATGATCGCTCCCAGAGTGTCCATATCGCCGCAGTATCCACTGTCGACATTACAGTGTCGGAACACGCCGATGTCAGTGTTAGTTCGCCCTCTCGAAGCAAGCCAGTGAGGTGTGGCGATCGCAATGGCATTGAACGTCAGACTCAGAGTTGAGCACAGAAACCCAAGAATCGTCACAACAGTCGCCATTTTAAACTGTTCTGTATAGTAAGAGACACGAAGGAAATAAATTAAATAAATTAGTGTGACGTCGCTCGTGGATTTCAAACACAATCACACCGTTCGTTCCGTACACGCTCGCAGGTTAGCCTTGTCCTGAGACCAAAACAAACCAGCCAACGTTGTCTGAGGAAATACCCTGTCACGTGACACTGACGTCGTGCTTACGTCACAAAGGTCACACCGTTACAACAGGTGCGTGACCTTCTGGGGTATCCGTGTAGGTAAACGTATACACAACTCATTTACAGTAAATATCTGTACAACGGTAAATATCGCGTTTTTGTATAAGTAGTAATTAAACAGCTTGTATCAAGCACGCTTGTTATCGACACTGACATGGGGATTTGAAAAGTCAATAAATCATTTTTTGTCCTATATTTTACCAAGATCTAAGTATATTCCATTAGGTTTGTGTTACACACGAACAGATGTCGCAATTCAAGTTATGTACGCTACATACAAAGCCGGATATACTTGGACAATAGCAATGTTCGTAATACACCCATAATCTACACACGAAGCTTAATCTCTGTTAAGATCCTACTAGCTAATGCTACTTAATAATAAGCAAATAACAAGCTCCCTTCACGACTGACCCATAAAACCTCACTACAAAAGGTCTATATGAGATCTTATATTGACTCCCTGTTCATACACAGGATCACTATATGCCGATCACTTTATACATAAGGAATGAACACATTCCATTTTTTGTAAGTAACAATTCATTTAAGATAATGAATAAAAAAGCTAATAAATGGATTCCAGCTTCTTTCTTACAAAACCACATACACAGTGAAACCTCGTTATACCGGACACCCCGAATCCGGAAACCTCACATTCAGGACCATCACTGCTTGAGCGCGTACATGTATGCAAACTGTATTGTTCGGAAATACACCTCTGTCGTGTGACTTAAACATTATAATAATAGAATTTGTTCCTTACGTTAGTATCCCGTCAAATCGCTTTGTGAGCAATTAAAAGACAATCAGACATGTTTGTATATTTAGATGACATGAATATGATGTTAAACTCTTTATCGTCCGCTTTGTCTTGTTAACTGCTGATTATAATATATCGTGTACAAAGTATTTTTTGTGTTGGAGTCTTCAGATAGGCATTGCCTGTTGACTCATCCGTTTTTCAATATTCATTGAAAATGTAAAGTGACATACTCGGTAACCATGATTCGTTATTCCGGACATTTGTTAATTCGGACGATTTGTGTTGTAGTGGGGATCGCCGAACGAAGCAGTATTCCAGCATGGCTATGGCGCCGATGCAAGCCGGCCTTCTGTGTGACGAGCGAACGCATTAACCATAAGGCTACCCAACGCTCCTGATTTCGCTGGCAACGCTAATGTACGGATACCAGCCTTTAATATTATTCTTGTGAATGCATAGATATATCGTTTTCATACATGTATATTGTTTAGCTTGCAATAAAAATAAATAAATACAATAAGTCTACTCATTGTAAGCTATGAAACAAAATTGACTGCTTTTGAAAATAAATATATGCAAAAGAACCATAGCATGCTAATGACGGTTCAGAGAAAAGCATATCTGTATAATTCCCAGGACCTTTCATGAATTTATTATGCCCCGCGATAGATTAATGTCTCTTGATGAAGGATATACAAGGGTTTGTGAGACGCGTGACGTCATTGGGGCACTCTCGCGAGCAGACAGACAACAGACAACAATGACATATTTTTGAGGGTGTTGTGCTGTGCCACTCATAATGCACATTTACGTTTTCACATCCTATTGTGCAAACCTAGCTTTTGGCGTCTTTATCGTGTTGTGTAAATGATTTGCTTTTAATTCAAAGACAATGGATCATTTGTTGTTTGAACAATGTATGATTATGATTCTTATTATGATATACCGAGTATTTCTTATATCCTAAATTATGTTAGATAACAACTGAATGCGGACGTCAAGGTTGCAATCTGTCTCTGGGACGATGTGGCGATCTCCGCATATTTTACGTTCGCCTCAATCAATTCGACCGCATTTCATTCATTTGTAGGTTGACGTTCATCACTCGACAATTCACATTATTATATTTTCATATGTGTAATATTTTGCTTTTCAGTGTATTCTTCTTTAAAAAGATGTCATCATTGTGTATCTCTAGGTTGGAGTGCACGTGATTAGAAGTTGGTCAGTTGGTGTATCAGGTCACGGGTTACCGGGCTCTCTGTACCAAACATGGCTAAAACCACTTGAATATTCATTTCGATTCGGTTTTAAGGCTGCATTGAACAGTATTCCAGTTATATCACAGCATGTCAGCTTACAAGGCGTGAAGTGATGCAGGTCTGAGACGTATACCATTGGGGTGAAACCCACGAGCACAGGTATTGTGCTGATATACCTAGAAACATAATTAGGGAGAACCAGGATTCGAACCTTCGATGATAGGTTTCACTTCACGACGCAACTCTTCACAGCGTATTGCCGCACCTTAGACAACAGGGCCACCTACTTGCCCTCATTTCCATTCTAACTTTAGGGAGATGATTTATGAGGCTGCAATTGTTTATGCATGTAAGCTGAATCTTCCCAAGTTCACAGATAACAACACATCCAACTTCCATATAAAACATTTTATTACAAAATTACTGAATGAATCCCAACCATTGGCCATGTGTACTAAAATACATGTGATATAATGCACCCTCGATTATCCAGATCAACATATGTCCATTCTATCAGGGTAAATACCCTGGATGCATTCGCCACCAAATCTTGAAAGTTTTGAAAGTGATCTCATCATCCCCTTCTCTCTTATTACCGTCATAGCAGAGAATGTCACTGTGAGAAATTTGATTGGATGGCTATTTTTAGAAGCATTAAAATCGATTCAGGCTCAAATTGAAGCTATGGTCATGGTGCATGGGTCCACAGTATTTATCGTCACAGGCTAGAGATAGAATACACTGGATAATCGAAGGTTGATATTATGATGAAAGATCAGGTTTTTTTATGAAACAAGTCTGCTTGATATGGAAGGGGCACTACTTGGTGACCTATACGCCAAGTGTGGCAAGACTATACAATCAACATCAATGACACTGGGATAAAAGCCATAATCATCATAACAGATCAATTAAAATTAATTAGTATTTATTTCTAAAACAGCAATTATAATAATTAAAAATCCTATGTCTTAAGATATATCACAATAAAACATGTCTTTGCAAACAAATGAGCAAGGGCTTAAATACCAAAATACTTAATCTGATTCTTCTCATGAATATAATTATTTGCTTTAAAACTGATGGGTATAGTGGAATACAAGTATATATAAAGCTATGTACAAAAATCAAATTCAACTTTTCAGTGGAAATGAAGGAAACAATTAAAAGACTTGTTAAATGGAATGTCCATATGAGATGTTTATGTAAAATTATTTAAAAATATATATCAATTTAAAAACATTTGTAGAAAATGATACAGTGAAAGAAAAGAGCAAGATGTTGACATCTATCTACTTAGTTTCCTAAATCAAGGTCAGTATTACAATAATCAAAAAGCAATGTCAATGTTGTGTACAAATCACATGGAATAACTGCTGACTTGACAGTTTGACGTATGATACATGCATATGTAACACTAACAGCAGCAAAATGTACCTCCTCACAAACTACGTAGAAATCATGTTCCTTTAAATCATCAGTTGACTTGACAGTTACAAGTATCATACATGCATATGTTACATTGCAAGAGTGGCAAATGTACCTCCTCACTAACTACGTAGAAATCATGTTCCTTTAAATCATCATTCTCATACGAAAAGATATTGGGAATGTGCAGTCCTTAGATATCCATATTTTTCATAAAGTCGCCTACCACTGCAATATCTTTAAATATCTAATGTACCATATACTTAATAAAGTCATCTATGTATGGCCTCTGATATCATCCAACATATGTTCCTGTAATCTTAATTTTACCAGACTGTGTCCTTACAGCTTTACCTGCGTGACATTGAAATAATATCATTTTCCATTTTGGTAAGGTACAGTACATTAAAAGTCATATACGTCATAAAGTCTAAAGTCATCTATCTATGGCCTCTTATATCATAAAAAAATTGTTCCTGTAACCGTAACTTTACCAGTAAATGTAATTCTTACAGCTCTTCCTGCGTGACAAATAGCAGGAAATTCACATACTTCATTAGGCCGCCTACCATTATTCAGTATCGATAATGTTTACTTCTTGGAAATTCACAAACTTTACAAAGTCATCTATCTATGGCCTCTGTTAACACCAAACTGTTTGTTCCAGTAACCTAACTTAACCATGAAGCCCCTTTCTTACAGTTCTACCTGCCGTGATACGTAGCCTTGTTCAGGGGGTGGAGGGTTGTAGCTTCGGACGGGCTGGGGGGAATGCTGGTATTCTCCATACCGTGGTGGCTGGGGGGAGGGCTGTGGCGGAGGGTATTTCTGTGGCAGAGGGTAGTCCTGCTGGGGGTAGGGTTGGGGCTGAGCAATGAACTGCTGCTGAGGGGGGCCTCTACTCAACACTATCCCTGACTGGTCCGAATGGGAGTACTCAGGTTTGGGGCGTGGCACGTCGGCATATGTGAAGCGGCTGTATCGGATATCTGGGTAGGGCTCTGGTTTAGGTTTCGTGGTAAACTGGCGCCGCCGGATATCTTCGATACTCTTGCAGAGTTTCAGGGAATCAATAATAAGCAGGACAGCTCCGAAGATGGAGAGCCCGGCGCCGATGACAGCAACATAGAATCCCCAGTCAAGGAGCATTTCAGGGTGGGAGGTGATGACGATATGGTATGGATCTTCCAGAGGGAGTGTGTGCCATGTGCTCTTACCACTCATGCTGGTGATCAAGAGAAACATGACTGCGATCACCTGAGAAATTGCTGCAATACAAGAGGGAGATATGTGTCATAAATATACAGTGTATTTTGGGATGGCAAATATCCCATATTAGGAATAAACATTGTATATAGCAAGATAATGATTGCCTAAAGAGCTTTTTTTCTATTTGTCTTTCGTAGACATCCATCAGTTCGCCTGCTAGAGTAATTGCCCTTTATCAAACAGATATACTCCTGTTTTGGAGACGTCACATTTGTTTAGAGTCTGCATGGCCTGCATTACCTCATAAAACACAGTTTGATGTCCACACATCGACAAATTAAAAAGGTAACAATTCAGACATTTTTCAGCCAAATCCAACTGTTCTAAAATGGGGAAATGACCCCAAAGTGCAGAGGATACAAACCTCACTTAAATTGTTTCTCAGTTTATATCACCAAAGTGCTAAAACTTGTTAATTGCTTCAGCTACGCCCAAATTAGACATCGATTTTTGGTGTTTGGACTGATGTCTTGTTTATAACAATTGTACCAGTAATTTGTCCAGTTCCCGAATGGTTAATTCTGACTCAATCGCAGATAGACAAGGGCAGTGCCATGTATGTTTGTAAATATTGAAAGTAGCAGCTAGCTGACCTTTTATACTTGCATATTTATCTGTATATGTCTGTTTTTATCCGTTGGCATTATACTTCCAAGCAACCTACCCATAACATGATAAATAGCTACTGCAACTCTACACATGTACCAATCTCCTCTCCTAGACACCACGTCTACAAAATATGCTGGCCTCAAACTGATGCCAGGTCATACGCTTTGTCCAGTAAATAGACATTGCGATACTAATAGAGACTGGGTCCATCATTTGATGAAATTAATTATCCCCATCACATTCACTTATGGCATGTAATGATTACTCCCTTCACTTAACAATGACCCAACCCCCTCCTCTTGCAAGAGTATCCTTTTGTATGAATGCAACATTTGAGATTTTGTAAGCATGGTAAGGTAGTTAGTTGCCAGATCAGCAGCTTCCGCTCAGGCATCTAATAGAGTGAGTGAGTGAGTTCGGTTTTACGCGGCTTTTAACAGTATTCGAGTTATATCACGGCGTGTCAACATAATGTGGGAGAAAAGCCCGAAGTGATGCGAGTCTCAGACGTTTACCACTTCGGTGAAACCCACGAGCATGGGTATGGTGCTGACAAACCTAGAAACATAATCGGGGTGAACCGGGATTCCAACCCACAATCATAGGTTTCCCGCGTGCCCAAGGGACGCAACTCTGCACAGCAAATTGCAGCGCCTTAGACAACTGGGCCACCCGTGCCCCCGGGCATCTAATAGAAGAAATACAGGGCATATCAATTGTCATCAAAGATATTGATATCTTCTACTCATTTGTCTAGAATGGATCATCATTACTTGAGCTTCAAATTAGGATTGGGTGAACAATTCTTGGGTGGGTTATCAAAAGTACGAAACTTGTGATGCACGTTAGGGCACAGTACCGGTGTGCCATTGCTGCTATGTTTGTTTTTTGTTGTTTAACGCCGCACTCAGCAATACGACAGCTATATGACGGCAGTCTGTAATCAATCGAGTCTGAACCAGACTTTCCAGTGATAGACATCATGAGCAATGATCTACGCAATTGGGATATGATGACATGGATCAACCAAGTCAGCGAGCCTGACCACTAGATCCTGTTAGTCACCTCTTACGACAAGCATGGGTTGCTGAAGACGAAAATTCTAACCCTGAATCTTCATGGGACTTGCCGTCGTGTATCACAGAAGTACCAGTCTAGCGGATGGAGTCAATGTCACAATGTGCCATGTAGGGTACTACAGAAATGTACCCTGGCCAAAGTCAAAATATAGAAATGTACCCTAAGTCGTGGTGTATCGGGCGCAGATAATAGTGCTAATTGACACTTGATACCATGCCTCCTCGATCCGCACAACTAGGGTTGGTTACCCCCAACCCATCCTTATCCCTATGATCAGCTTCCTGACCAAGCTCTCCTTTACTGTCATTAGGGATAGGTACCCCTTTTTATCAAACACCTCTATATGATCCTAAGGGTTAGATACCCCTTTCCTATCAAACACCCTTTTACAATCATTAAGGTTAGGTACTCCTTCCTGATCTTACACCCCTCTACGATCCTTTGGTATATTTGTGATATTCGGGTATGGGTTAGTTATCTCACCTCTTCTATAAATGATTTAATCCAAGGTCAATGAAATTTGGAAAATACATACAATTTTTTTATCAAGATTTGAGTTTCACACAGAAAAATAGCTACTATGCATCGAGGTAAACAATCGGGTGCTGATCACTTGGTCAACGAGCACTAATTTGTTGTGATAGTGTCTGTGATAATATTTTTGCTTATCAGAATAAGTCATAAGCCAAGCTTATGCCAGCAATGTGAGTTCAATCCTCCGACTTGCGCTAAGTGAAATCCGAAAATAGTACACCAACTAAAGTGCAGTACTTCCAAATATAGACATAAGTTGACATGGTTCTCATTTGTTGGAAACAAATTTAGCTCACCTGCAATGAGAGTGAATGCGGAAAGCCCCAAGCTTCCTGTGAGTGATCCAAACTCTCGTACTGCAAGAATGACGGAACCGCCAAAGCCAGCTGCAATTCCAAACACTCCAAGACAGTAGAACACCTGGCCGGCCTTAAACCACCCTGCAAAACAGTGAAAACCGGTGAACAGTTGTTTTGTGACCAGAGGAGTAATGATACAATATTGTATGCCATAAGAGTGAGTAAGCGAGTATGGTGTTACGCCGCTTTTAGCAATTTTCCTGCAATATCACAGCGGGGGACACCAGAAATGGTCTTCACACTTTTTACCCATCTGGGGAATCGAACCCGGGTCTTCAGCGTGACGAACGAACGTTTTAACCACTATGCTACCCTACCGCCCTGTATCCCATGAGAGGCCAATGATACAATACACTGATTTTCTAGTATTTCACAGTGCCCTCTAGCTATTTGTTTCTACCCTATATTATCCCATCTTCAATCTCCGAAATGTAAAAACAAATGATTCATGGTTGTGTTTCACCTGTGAAAAGAAAGAATATCAGCTTATGAAATAATAATAATAATAATAAGTCCATTTGTATGGCGCCAAACTCCATACCAGCTCAGGTGCTCATGGCGCTTACATTATTACCCTAGTCAATGGATCAGTGATCATTACAGCCACATTACCATCTCATCCAACCGGATACTGTATCGGGACATGAATCTTCTCCCACCCATAGCATCATGATACATATCATATCGCGACCTAACTGTATCATTACACTCTCCTTGGCAAGGATTTGACTGCAAGCCTAACTCATTAGAACTAGATAATGAAACTTCGGAGAATAGGGAAGAGTGAGTGAGTGAGTGAGTATGGTTTTACGCCGCTTTTAGCAATATTCCAGCAATATCACGGCGGGGGACACCAGAAATGGGCTTCACACATTGTACCCATGTCGGGAATCGAACCTGGGTCTTCGGCTTGACGATCGAACGCTTTAACCACTAGGCTACCCGACCGCCCCAGAATAGGGAAGAGAATTTATGGATGTCAACTTCTTATTACGTGTGTTCCTCATAATAAAGAAGTTGACATCCGTAAATTCTCTTCCTTATGTGTATCACTTCTAAATGCCTTTCAAAGACTTCGGAAATTAGAATAGATGAAATCAGTTGTACTGTCCATAATGTAGTGTTATCTTAATTAGTTGTCTAGCACCATTGTGTAAGCCACCCCGATCCTACTCCCTTTACCTGGCTCCACCTGGAGGTTTGTGGCCTCCCCCAGGGCGACGAGGCTGGTCATAAGAACCTTGGTCCTCTCCGGGCCTGGCTTGCCTGGCTTGTACATCCAGAACACCCCGATCTGCAGCTCCGCCTCGCGCTGGCCCCTGGAGCCGTAAGTGGCATCAGCAGCGTCGAAATGGAGTCGGAACCAAAACGGCAGCAGGGCGCACAGCACGGAAACTAGTGTGGCAATAAGAAGGACCAAAACAGAGAGGGCTAAGATTTTCGAATCAAAGAAGTTGCGAAGCCCCATTTTCGTTTATATACGTTTTTGACGCTTTTTTGTTGTTCTTTTCTTGATTCGTCGTGCTATTCGTTCACACTAGCGTCTTTCTAACGCAAGCTGAGCGTCCGATCGTGTTGTATTTGCAGAAATTCTTGGGATGTTTGTCTTCTGACGCTCAGCCCTTGAACGCCATTTTGAAATTAGCTTTGCGGAAGTGTCGCACCTGCACAGGTAAATTTCCAAGGGAGACAATCAAGGTAACATTCGTCAGGCGGGAAAAGGTGAGGGATGCTGTTAGGAGCTCGAAACCAAGCTCCAAATATTATCTAGGTTATGGACTAATCTAACTTACTTTATCCTGTAAAGTTTAACAGTTTTCTGTAAATAGCTGATAAAAATACAATCACAAAAGTTCGCAATATTTGAGAGAAATTGTTTGATGGGCATGACAAGGTAGACACACTTTTATGGATAACAGCTTCTTTAATACTGTAAAAAGCGACGTTTCGGTATAGATCCTTATACCGTTGTCAAGCAAGACTGAATCAGGGACATAGTACAGAATATATATAGTAGGTGGAGGATTAACAGTAAAGGATTATCAGTAACTACAATTGCATACATGAGTGGGATAACATGAGTAAGTGTTGACAACAGAAGGATAATACTGTCACAACACGGTGGACAGAGAACACATAAGGATCTCTACCAGTCCTTAGAGAATAAATACAGTAAACTACGGTTATAACGAACTCAAAGGGACCACTAATTTTAGTTCGTTATAACCGTAGTTCGTTATAAGCATATATACAGCATAACTACAGCAAATAGTCGGGACCATAAAGTAAGTTCGTTATATCCGTCAGTTCGTTATAAGCGTGTTCGTTATAAACGTAGTTTACTGTAAACAAATCCAACTCAAGTCTAGTATGATTTAGCAAGTCTAGATTAAGCATTTTTCTGGGCTCCATTTGGACTTATCTTCATGGTATATATTTTGAATTAAGATATTTCTGGGACTAAATGTTAGTCTAATCACTAGCATACTAAACAGTAGAGATACCCATAGTAGCTATATGAAGGTAGGGTTGAAAATGTTGCCACAGCAGCCACTTGAAAGTTCTTGACATTCTTATTGAAAGTTTCTGGAAGCGGTTCAGTTGATCCATCTATATAAAATGGCAAGATGTCAACTGTGAAAACATAAAGCTTGCTGTACTTGCTGAAATACGGCTGTTTGAAATAAGATGAGTATCGAATCGTTGATAGAATATACACAATGCACCTGACTTTGAATACACGTGTGTTATTAATTTCAAATGCCGCAATATATCAGTTGTATGAGGGTGACCTGTAAATATTCAGTCTGGACACCACAAATGACGACATGCAATAAACCGATCACTCGATCCATTAAGTCGTCCCAAACAAGCACAGGTTACTGTGGGCTAGTGTAATACACGCCCCCACAACCGAACATTTACAAACGATTTCCAAAGATTAAAAATATATTAACATACCGATCCATTGAGATATGGTGCTACAGTGTACATACACATCCAGGGTATTACTTGGCGAAGCTGTCTGTTTGTGGTGGTAAGCCATTTCTTGCCTCATATATAGGGGTATTACTTGGCGTAGCTGTCTGTTGGTAAGCCATTTCTTGCCTCATATATAGGGGTATTACTTGGCGTAGCTGTCTGTTGGTAAGCCATTTCTTGCCTCATATATAGGGGTATTACTTGGCGTAGCTGTCTGTTGGTAAGCCATTTCTTGCCTCATATATAGGGGTATTACTTGGCGTAGCTGTCTGTTTGTGGTGGTAAGCCTTTCTTTCCTCATATATAGGGGTATTACTTGGCGAAGCTGTCTGTTTGTGGTGGTAAGCCTTTCTTGCCTCATATATAGGGGTATTACTTGGCGAAGCTGTCTGTTTGTGGCGGTAAGCCATTTCTTGCCTCATATATAGGGGTATTACTTGGCGAAGCTGTCTGTTTGTGGTGGTAGGCCATTTCTTGCCTCATATATAGGGGTATTACTTATCGAAGCTGTCTGTTTGTGGTGGTAAGCCTTTCTTGCCTCATATATATGGGTATTACTTGGCGTAGCTGTCTGTTGGTAAGCCATTTCTTGCCTCATATATAGGGATATTACTTATCGAAGCTGTCTGTTTGTGGTGGTAAGCCTTTCTTGCCTCATATATAGGGGTATTACTTGGCGTAGCTGTCTGTTGGTAAGCCATTTCTTGCCTCATATATAGGGGTATTACTTGGCGTAGCTGTCTGTTGGTAAGCCATTTCTTGCCTCATATATAGGGGTATTACTTGGCGTAGCTGTCTGTTGGTAAGCCATTTCTTGCCTCATCTATGGTCAGTGTCCAAAGGCGCTGTAACCCGCTGTTGATAGTTGTTTCCCAAAGCTTCCCGGAACCCAAAGTGATCTTAGTGCTATGACTGTCGCGAAGCTGTGTTTATGGGAGTTACGATCGTCTTTGAACTACGAATGTCTGTTTGTTTGTTTGTTGTTTAACGCCGCACTCAGCAATATTCTAACGCCGCACTCAGCAATATTCCAGCTATATGACGGCGGTCTGTAAATAAACGAGTCTGGACCAGACAATTCAGTGATTGACATCATGAGCATCGATCCACGCAATTGGGATACGATGACATGCATCAAGCAAGTCAGCGAGTGTGACCACCCGATCCCGTTAGTCAACTCTTTCGACTAGCATACTGTGTTAATCTATACTACTCAAAAGAAGTCATATTACTTTAGTTAATCTGTCATTCCAAAACATATTAACTATAGTACTATGAAAGAATCGGGCGTTCTTTTTATTGGGACATGTTAAAGTGTGAGAGTTAGGATAGTCTTTGCGCCACGATCGTCACATGTCTGTGTTAAATTATGGAAGTGACGACAGTCTCCCGGAACGTGGCCCAGGACCTACTGGCTGTGATGCATTAAATTGACCCCTGATTTATCGGCATTTCCATGCTCATGGCGTTCACACTGGAGGTGAGGTGAGGTGAAATTGGGATTAACGTCGCGTCAAAGATTATTGCACTTATATAGCAACGTGCATGCACGTGTATGTGTGTGTGTGGCTGCTTGTACTAGTCCGGACTGATGCCGATTTATAGTGCTAGCTCACTGAGATACCATGCCGCAGTTTAACATGAATACCCCACTCAGACACAGTATACTGACTCCGAGCCGACCAGTCCTCGTTTTAGCCCCTTAATGCCGAGCGCCAGACAGGGTAACAACAAGTACAATCTTTTAACGTCTTTTTGTATGACGCGGCCCGGGATCGAACCCTGGACCTTCCGCTCTCCGGGCGGACGCTCTACCACAAGACCACGGAGGCGGTCTGTTCACACTGGAAGACTGGCCGTTGGAAAACGCCGTTACAGACATTAGCCATTCAAGTGAAACCACGGGATAAGGTATAGGCCTGACAAACCAAGGCCCCAAATCACGGAGACTCTATGATCAGAACCTTAGAACAGCCTATCCTGGCACGATGAAGAAACGCAACCCTGTGTTGCGAATAGCATTGATGAAGATGGATAGACCAAGAGAGGTCTGCCGACACTGATTGGCATTGGTTTGAACGGTTTCCTCAAGATTGACAGGTTGTTAGCTCACCTTATCTGAAATAAGATTGTATCATGGCCTGATTGTCCGCTTCCTGTAGCTGTCTTTGTGTAAAGATGTTCTCTACGTTCGAAGCTGAAACTTGGCAAGCAAGCTCTTGAGATCTGTATTGTTTCAATGGGTTCTGAAACTGATTTAATATGTCCTACACGTCAGCTATGTCTTAACACCAAGTAATTACAGTTGGTCAGCCATTCAGAAAATTGGTAACTTGGTTATTTGAGTAGTAGGACTCACGTTGGTCGTTTCTTGTAGCATTTTGAATTCCGTCCTTTTCAAATGCACCATCAATATCTCTTTAATGAAGTCTTTGATTTCTTCGAATTGTAAAGTTAAGAAAAACACTCTCAGAGATAAAAATGTTATTTCAGCCCCAAATACTACATATGTGATAACTTGGTATTCTTAAAACCATATAACCCTTAAAGAAAATAAAAGCGTGGTGTTATTAGGTTGGCTTGTGTGAGTGAGGAAGTTGTGTTTTATGACCTCTGAACAGTATTCAGCTGAATGTCCTGGTAAGGTGGGAGTGAAGCTAAGAAGTGACACAGAAAGACTTCTAGCAATTTTGAAAACCCCGAGCAAGGGCCGAGAGCTGCCAAATCCAGAATTACAACCAGGATGACTCATAGAGTCGGATCTATGATGCCCAAAAGGTGACTGATTTTGACACCCAGGAAATATAACAAGATGTCACATTTAAGTCTGATCCAGGAACAGCAAAACGAGTGGTCCAGTGGGTTCCCTTCACAGTCAACATAGGTCACCCACGCACGTTAGAACACCATCTTAAAGTCCCTTTTAACCAAAACAAGGTGCTGAAAACCATCTTCTGCCTAAACTCCACACTGATTATTTGCTAATCAATAGAATGTGCACCCCAATATTACACATATGTCCTCAGATGTTCTGGATAAGAACACACAGGTTGCTTGCAAATGACCTGTGCATCCTCAGATGGCATGCAGATTAACCTGGGAACCTTTTCTGTCTAGGATTCTCAAACAAATTACATACAAGAGTGCTTCCGACTACAAGGAGGTTCTATCCAGTGACCTTGAAACACAAATGGCCTCCAATTTCAACATTTATGAGTCTCCTATATTTCGTAATACCAATCATTTATACTTTGCTCTCTATAATTATTTTCAAAGCTTGCAGACACATTGACCAATGCCTACTAGCTCAATCTGAAGCTTGGAGAGATGCTGCTCCTGATTAGGTGTGCATTGAATACAAAAGGACATTCTGATGATTCATGTTTATTGACTTCTGTTGAAGAGAGACATTCCTTGGGTACCACATGTATATATCCTGGATCAGTACATATAGCATATAGCTGAATCACATGCCATTGTGGTAGCATTCAAAAATAGCATTGGGCAAACATCTTGAGGCAGTTAACTAGATACATATATACACTGAGAAGACACCCTCAGCATGTTCCTCCAGAACATTGGTTCAAACCAATTCTCCAAAGTCCAAGAATACCAAGTTATCACATATGTAGTATTTGGGGCTGAAATAACATTTTTATCTCTGAGAGTATTTGAGAGTGATTGTATGTGTGAGTGAGGGTATTATTGTTATGATATGAGCATGTGGGTGTGTTTGCATTTGTGTGACTTCATCAGCTGAGATGTCTGAACCTCTGTCCAAACTATCTATATTTTCAGCATTCCACTAACTCCTCTTCTCACTGAGAGATCAACTAGTTACTATGAGACACAAGCACCAGGAACAACCTGTTACACCAACATCACTTTGGCGCCACTATGGCCTTCATCTATACTATACTGTCACAATACTTTTAAATGGCATCTAGAAGATCTAGTATCAATAAGGATTGTTTGTTGTTTAACGTCACACTCAGCAATATTCCAGCTATATGGCGGCGGTCGGTAAGTAATCAAGTCTGACCCAGACAATCCAGTGATTGACAACATGAGCATCGATCCATGCAATTGGGATGGATGACATGCATCAACCAAGTCGATCCTGTTAGTCGCCTCTTACGACAAGCATAGTCGCCTTTTACTGTAAGTATGGGTTGCTGAAGACCTGTTCTACCCCGGATCTTCACGAGGGACAAGCATGGGTTGCTAAAGACCTTTTCTACCCCGGATCTTCACGGAGCTCCACTTCATCCTATCCCTTCATCCTTACAAACTTCATCTCCAACTTGCAAGCAAGCTACTACAGTATGTCAGCACAGACTCACACTCTCTAATTCTAGTTCAGCTTACTAACATTGCTAATATTCATGAATGTCAACTAATTGACAAAATACAAAACTGTGAAAGGGCATACCTGTTAACATGGTGTGAGAGAACACCCATTTCAAACTGTTTCACACTACAGATGTTTCTTGAAGCCATCTTGTATTACAATGTGATAGAAATTGTTCCACAATACAGATGCTTATTGAAACAATAATATCTACTTATTCCCTTGTACAGCCTGGGTCTGTTCATCTGGTAGGGGGGCGGTCAGGTAGCCTAGTGGTTAAAGCGTTCGTTTGTCACGCCGAAGAGCCGGGTTCGATTCCCGACATGGGTACAATGTGTGAAGCCCATTTCTTGTGTCCCACGCCGTGATATTGCTGGAATATTGCTAAAAGCGGCGTAAAACCATACTCCTTTACTCACTCATCTGGTAGGTTAGCCATGATTAACGTGATTCTTGGTGTCAGAGCTGTACCCTCATGGTAAGTGGTAGACATCCTGGCCAGTGTTACCTTCATGACCCATTAATCTCATCATGATGCAAATAATGTTCCAATGATGGCTAAACTCACTGACTCATTTAACACAGACAAGTACGTCTGGATTAACTGACTATGTACTACATGTATAAAATACCAAGACCTCTGCATCCCACTGATGTCTTGATTAATGAAGCTCCAGTGACTTACTATCATATACCAAGACCTCCACATCCCACTGATGTCTGGATTAATGAAGCTCCAGTGACTTACTATCATATACCGAGACCTCCACATCCCACTGATGTCTGGATTAATGAAGCTCCAGTCACTTACTATCATATACCGAGACCTCCACATCCCACTGATGTCTGGATTAATGAAGCTTGCCTTATAAGGACTTTGACAGGAATGTCCAGTTCCCACAGGTTGCAGACGTACAAATGTGGTGTATCTCAAAGTTTTGCAATGTATAGAGTTGGTTGAAGATTAGTATCAGGATATATGACATAGGCAACTCTCACTTAAATGTAATGTATTTCGACATTACACCTGTTTATAGGACATGGCATACAAGCTTCATTAAGGCTAATGGTTTTATAATTTTATGAACAAATCAGATTGACAGGTCATATTATACACAAAAATAAATTTCTGTAGCATGATAGTTTATTGTCATGAAAGTAATTTGGGCTGTTAAGGCTGTAAAGTGTACAGGAGGTTTTTTTAATTTCCATAGTAACAAGTCCCTGTATTCACTCTGGGTGTTCACTGAAAGTTGTGTTTGTAGTGGCCAGAAAATCTCTTGTTTAATTTTCTGTAGTCACATCTCATTATTTTGTAATGCATCACAAACAGAGCAGTCTGGCAAATATACTGAGCTTTCTTAATTTGATTTGGGGTTCGCTCGCGGCTTTTGGCTTTGCCAGTCGATCGATAAACCAAAGACATAAAATGAACATTCCTGAAGACAGAGCTGATACAACAGAGCACCATTCACAAGGAAAATACTTTGTATTGTGACCTATAAATACAACACATGGGAGGAATAGGGATGATTTATATACTGATGAAAAGATATTCCATACGTAACTGTACATCACAACTGTGGTCACATGACCATCCTGTGTTTGGGTCGTGTTAAGTCCAAACCCTCTCCCTTTGGGACTAACTAACTATTGACCTTGGCTGACTGTCCTTGTCACAATACAGTGTAGACAAGCCCTGGGAACATGCATCAACAAAACTCAGGGGCGGTGGGGTTCGCTCGTCACGCTGAAGATCCGGGTTTCGATTCTGACATGGGTAGAATGTGTGAAGCCGTGATATTGTTGGAATATTGCTAAAAGCGGTGTAAACCATACGCACTCACTCACTCACTCAACAAAACTCCTCCTTTAATTGTGACAGGTAATGAAAAGTATAGTCAGTTTAAACATTGTCACAGACAACTGGTCCGAAACCCAACTCAAATTACTGTATACTGGCTATCAGGATGCCATAGGGAGGTTTGCCTCAGTCCCGCTCACAGAAACACAGGGACAATATCATCAAGTAATTCTACTCAATCCTAGAACTGCATCATAAACAAATGATCCAACCAAATCAGATTTTCATTACTAAACCAACACATACGGACAAAACACATACAAAGCTTAATAAACTGACTCAGTCCACATCCATAATTGAGACAGGCAAACATAATTAACATACAGGTGAAAACGCAGAACAGTCCAAACTGTTCTCTTTGTCTTGACTGTTCAAATGGAAGTAGTACCGCTTCTGTGGTCTATTGGATACAGCATCTGCCCGGAGAGCAATAGATCGGTGGTTCTATTCCTGTCAACATTGTTGAAAGATGGTGCTTGGCATTAAGGGGATAAAACAAGGACTGGTCGGCTCGGGAGTTGGTATACTGTGTCTGAGTAGGTATCCACGTTAATCTGCGGCATGGTATCTCAGTGTGCTAGCACTATAAAACCAGCATTAGTCCATACAATTACAAGCATGCACGCACACACACATGCATGCATGTCACTACATAAGTGTAATAAACCTAAACGTGACGTTAAACCCCATTTCATCTCAGATAGAAGTAAATCAAGATTGCAATGAAGCACTAGTGTATACTCAATCAGCACTGTGACCTTAAATGTCAATACATACTGACCGAGACGACCACATCAGGATGTGTCCAGACTGCCGTTATTGCTGCCTACAGGCAGTTACTGACTTCCGCCCTGACCTTGGTCCTGTCACAAGTTAGCCCTCAGTTATCAACAAGCTATAGAAGATAGTGGTATTCAATTCTATTCTGTACGACAGAAGTGTAAGAAGTATGTAACATAAGTTACATTCAGATGTGGTAGGATAGAAAACTCAGTGCCTCAATCAACTATGGCTTGTGATTGGTCATCTGCCTGTTACACACATTGATACACTCACTGATAAATGAGAAAAAACAAACATCATGCTCAAATAAACTTCAACAACTGGAATTACATCTAGAAACAAAATTCTTGAAAAAATCAGCCTCAACTACCCTGTATTAAGTAAACAGATTTGTCATCTTTGGTAGATATGAACTTGATCAACACACCGTTCCACACTGGGATGAAGAAGTTCGCACAGAGGGTCTTACATGACCCACACCCAGACATCTGCCATCAAAGTCGCCATTACCACTCCTGATCGCTCAGCGTTTCAGATTTACAACAATCACAGGTTTTTCATGGAAAAATAATGTTACCATGGTGCTTGAAAAGTGGTTCTGGTGACTGTATTTGTTTTTTGTTTGTCCGTCATGAAACTTGTCAGGAACACGTGAGGACTTGTGTCATCACACCTGTTGTGACTGGGGTCAGACACATTTGAGACATGTGTCATTATGTCAGAAGCACTTGACGGTCACCATCATCACGTCTGGTGCGACAGTCGACCCATGTTTATCTGGAAAGGCTGCATTTGTCCCGGGATGTTGGAGGGAGCCCGCTGCATCTGCACATTGGGGGCCAGGAAGATCTGACTCCGGGGCAGGTAGCTCCCCGTGGGGCTGGACAGCTGGGGCTGATGTTGCTGCCGCAGCATGGGGTACACTCCGGGGTTGTTCTGGACTAAGGCGCCACTCTGCAAGACAGCTGCCTGGCTCTGGGGAAGGTGAAAACCCTGAAGACGAACCTGGAAAATAGAAAGCACAGCCATGGAAGACACGGGAAAATACTGACCACTGCACCCATACAAATAATGACAACACAAAGTCATCAAATAAAGTAAAACATCACATTGCCCAACACCTGGGGCAAGTGAATTTTCGATATGGACAAGCAAAATATACTATCACTACCGGTACTTGTCAGAGGTCAAGTTGATAATTGGGAGGTCGTATATGCATACTGATGTATGATGTCACCTAAAAGAGAAATATACAGTCTAATGTTCAGCACCCTTAGTCTGGCAAAGAGGTTAAACAGCCAAATAGGCATTTTGAGAAAATGTAACAGTATGGTAAAAAATGTCAAAATTTACAATTTTGAAAAACAACAACCCCAAAACTGGACATAGGTGTTCAATCACACAACAAACTAAAAAAACAACATATGTCATTAAATTGCTGAGTCATGGCCATAAGAAGTTTCAGCTACAGCATGGTTGAAGTGCAAAGGTCAAATGAAGGTCAAATGAAGGTCAAACTGTTGTATCATGATATCACAAAAACCGGAACTGAACATATTCCACATTTCATTACGATTGGAGTGAGTAAAATGGCTGAGTAATGGTAATAAATAGACTTTTCAAAATGGCTGCCAAGGTTGCCATATTGAAAATCGGATTCAAAACAAAATCAGGTGTCATCATTGGTGTGAATAAGCTTCACTGGTCCAGTGGTATCTGAGGAAGAGATGTTTCCAGCTGGTGCAGGACACTGGACAAGCAGGCAATTACATAAACTCACTTGACTCTCAGTCAGGTGAGCTAAGAAGGATGTCGCACCTCTGCATAAGTTCACACAGGAATGGGTGGAGTCACACACTGACCTGGGGTGGGGGCTGGAAGTTGGGCACAGAGGAGGGTGGAAGATGCACTGTCTGGGATCCTTGTGGGCCGCCACTGTTAGGGACTTGCTGGATATACTGGATAGCCATGGGTTGTCCCCCTTGGAGGAAGGAGACATTGTCTGGCTGTCCTGCAGACTGTAAAATATTGGGACATATTAATTAATACATGATACGTTTTGAGAACACAATTACATGACATCACATGACATGAACTATAGTCAGATGAAAGCTCAGTTATTTTGTAACTATTTTTTAGCAGTTTACATTGTTTGACAGCAAAAAGGCATACAATTTAGGCCTGGGACAAGTCCAAATCTACTACCCGGGTACCCACCCCCCTATTACAAAATGTCCGATTTGGAAAAGTCTGCCCTGGCAAAATGTATTCAGATACATGTATAAAACAATCTGGTCATGCAAACACTGAAGTTAACTGCATGAAGTTTTATCTTTATTCAAACATATAAAAGTCAGAAGGAATGGGTGCATAGTCAGGAAGAAATGGGAACATTAGTGACTTGTAGTGTGACCATAGAGTTTTAGATAATTTTTGTCATTAAACAATATATCACGTGACTAACCACAGGTCCGGGAAGTTCTGTGGGTACCCGGGTCCTACTCAGTACCCACCTGACCCGAGTACCCAAGTTACCCGTCAATATATACCCATAAATATAACCAGAACATGAGTTTCACCCTGATGGGAGCACATGACCTACTTGTGTGGGCTGTCCTGGGATGAGTTGTGGCGGCATGAACTGTACGGGCTGGGAGGGGTGGGAGGGGTGGGGGTCCTCCTGACGTCTCAGCACCTGCTCCAGGTTGTCCCGTGCCCTGTTCCGCCACGCCCCCTGCACCGATGGAATATCAAGTTAAGCTCACAGGACACCAGTGTATTTTGTACTGACCAACTGTTATAGATCTGGCTCCCAAGACACCAGTGTATTTTGTACTGAATAACTGTCATAGATCTGGTTTGCTGGATACCAGTGTATTTTGATCTAAACAACTGTGATAGATCTGGCTCCCAAGACACCAGTGTAATTTGTATTGAAGAACTGTCATAGATCTGGCTCGCAGGACATCAGTGTATTTTGTACTGACCAACTGTTATAGATCTGGCTCCCAAGACACCAGTGTATTTTGTACTGAATAACTGTTATAGATCTGGCTCGCAGGACACCAGTGTATTTTGTACTGAATAACTGTTATAGATCTGGCTCGCAGGACACCAGTGTATTTTGTACTGACCAACTGTTATAGATCTGGCTCCCAAGACACCAGTGTATTTTGTACTGAATAACTGTTATAGATCTGGCTCACAGGACTTCAGTGTATTTTGTACTCCCAAGACACCAGTGTATTTTGTACTGAATAACTGTTATAGATCGGGCTTGCTGGACACCAGTGTATTTTGTACTGACCAACTGTTATAGATCTGGCTCCCAAGACACCAGTGTATTTTGTACTGAATAACTGTCATAGATCTGGTTTGCTGGATACCAGTGTATTTTGATCTAAACAACTGTGATAGATCTGGCTCCCAAGACACCAGTGTAATTTGTATTGAATAACTGTCATAGATCTGGCTCGCAGGACATCAGTGTATTTTGTACTGACCAACTGTTATAGATCTGGCTCCCAAGACACCAGTGTATTTTGTACTGAATAACTGTTATAGATCTGGCTCGCAGGACTTCAGTGTCTTTTGAAATGAATAACTGTTATAGATCTGGCTCGCAGGACACCAGTGTATTTTGTACTGACCAACTGTTATAGATCTGGCTCCCAAGACACCAGTGTATTTTGTACTGAATAACTGTTATAGATCTGGCTCACAGGACTTCAGTGTATTTTGTACTCCCAAGACACCAGTGTATTTTGTACTGAATAACTGTTATAGATCGGGCTTGCTGGACACCAGTGTATTTTGTACTGACCAACTGTTATAGATCTGGCTCCCAAGACACCAGTGTATTTTGTACTGAATAACTGTTATAGATCTGGCTCCCAAGACACCAGTGTATTTTGTACTGAATAACTGTTAAAGATCGGGCTCGCTGGACACCAGTGTATTTTGTTCTAAACAACTGTTATAGATCTGGCTCGCAGGACATCAGTGTATTTTGTACTGACCAACTGTTATAGATCTGGCTCCCAAGACACCAGTGTATTTTGTACTGAATAACTGTTATAGATCTGGCTCACAGGACACCAGTGTATTTTGTACTGACCAACTGTTATAGATCTGGCTCCCAAGACACCAGTGTATTTTGTACTGACCAACTGTTATAGATCTGGCTCGCAGGACATCAGTGTATTTTGTACTGACCAACTGTTATAGATCTGGCTCCCAAGACACCAGTGTATTTTGTACTGAATAACTGTTATAGATCTGGCTCACAGGACACCAGTGTATTTTGTACTGACCAACTGTTATAGATCTGGCTCCCAAGACACCAGTGTATTTTGTACTGACCAACTGTTATAGATCTGGCTCAAAGGACATCAGTGTATTTTGTACTGACCAACTGTTATAGATCTGGCTCACAGGACATCAGTGTATTTTGTTCCATACAGTTGATATAGATCAGGGCATCTCGCATTACAGTTCACCTGCATTACTTCATGGGTCAGTACAGCACTAATTTACTACATGTTAATACAGTACTTTATAACTCCAAGAATGCTACAGATGGTCACACTACTCACTGTCTGGGGGCTGCTGGTGGTGGAGGTGCTGGACGCCCCTGCAGTGGAGGGCGGGGCCAGGTTAAATGCCCTCTGGGCCTGTGGAGGGACATGTGCAGCATTAGTGTCACAGCCAACAAACAGTAACATAGCAGAATCTCAAAGCATGTCCTACTGCACTTAGACTGTTGCTACTACAAATATAGATTTAGAATAATCAGCAACATTTAGTCATTGTACACCACAATCGATGATATATCAGTTCTGTGATATGATCAATCAGCTTGGAATTCATGTATTCTCACCTTTCAGTTAAATGAAATGCACCATTCTTGGTATACTTGAATAATATCATCCATTATGGAATACATCTGATAATTTCACCCAACATAAAATACAACAGATCATTTCACCCTTCATGAAATACATCAGATCTTGATATCATTTGAGCTTGTAAGACACTCTGGTGAGATTTTACTTATCATTCACTGGCTGAAGGATTAGTGATGTCATTTGATTGTGATGTCATGGTAATCAATGATGTCACAATGGTCTGTAAAGTATTGTGATGAAATTTCATTCTGGATATCACCCAATGATGTAGAAGCCAGATTTTGATGACAATTAATATCACACGTCAGGGAATACAACATACCTATATTACAACACACCATGTTGTAACACATCATGGATAGACCATATTATCCACCGTGTAATTCAACACACTGTATGAAACATCCCTGAATGCAAGAGGACACTTCATGTGACATGAAACCCAGTGTAAACTATCCCCCACATCCCCCTTACCTGGATGGCTTCCTCCTTCTCAGACCATTCTGTTGTCTGTTTGGCAGGAGGTGAGCCTTTCTTGTTACCATCTTCCTTGGTGCCTGTACTGCTGGCGTTAGTGGGGGGCTTGGATGGCTCAGCTTTGTCCTGTTCCTGACTGGCTGCGAGGGTCTGCATGCAGCTGGGCATGTGTTCCGGCCAGTGGGACTGTTGACAATCGTATGTGCAGTAGCTGGTGTTCCAGCAGCAGTAGTAGATCGCCTCCTTGCCACACTGGGCACACTAGGGAGGAGAACACAACAGCATAAGTAGCATTGTCTAGGCTCGGGTCTGCTTGCCACACAAGGGAGGAAAACATAACAGCATTAGTAACATTGTCTAGGCTCGGGTCTGCTTGCCACACTGGGGGGGTGAACACAACAGCATTAGTAACATTGTCGAGGCTCGGGACTGCTTCCCACACTAGGGAGGAGAACACAACAGCATTAGTAACATTGTCTAGGCTCGGGTCTGCTTGCCACACTGGCCACACTAGGGAGGAGAACACAACAGCATTAGTAACATTGTCTAGGCTCGGGACTGCTTGCCACACTAGGGAGGAGAACACAACAGCATTAGTAACATTGTCTAGGCTCGGGACTGCTTGCCACACTAGGGAGTAGAACACAACAGCATTAGTAACATTGTCTAGGCTCGGGTCTGCTTGCCACACTAGGGAGGAGAACACAACAGCATTAGTAACATTGTCTAGGCTCGGGTCTGCTTGCCACACTGGCCACACCAGGGAGGAGAACACAACAGCATCAAGAACATCTTCAACTTCTAAAGTCACCCTCTAGATGGAATTCTAACTGTACTTGTTTTTTAGAACAGACATCCTTTCCATGATATTAATGAATTACATTTTCCGGTACTATTTAGTAACATTCACATATGTTATACACCGAGTTGACAGATGGTGTTGGTACACAGACAGTCAAACATGCAGCTAAGACCCAGCAAACTTCCATCAATTTCATGGCATCAAATACCAACGGTTTCATGAATAGTACTATTGATGAGATTTGAACTGGATCTTTGGCATGGATAGCAAATGCTTTAACCACTTGGCTACCCAGTCTCACATAACGTAGTGTCGGCTGTAAAAACACAACATACAAAACAGAGCAAGTTTCTTGCTGCTGCTGACTGACCCACTGCTTCTTCTTGATCTCGGCAATGGCCTTGTTTTTCTCCTTCTCACACAGCTTGCTGATGTCCTTGAACAGGCGTTGCTTTTCTGCATCCCAGCACGCCCGCATCTCCATCACCGTCAGCTCTGCAACACACACAGTCTATCAGTCAATATCTCCCACCTACATCCCAGTTTCATGTGTCAAGTAGTTCAGAATGCAAGCAATCCACGCATTCAGTCTGGCCATAACCAACCAGAACCTCACTACCCTATATCCTCAACTATAATACAACGTCGCTTATAAGGCAACTACCCTACAGAAGCCTTCAAAATCAGTGCTAACTGACACTCAGTCTATACCACGACTCGGAGTGAAGAACAACAGAGTTAAAAACATTACAATAAACAATATGTTTCTATTTCTTATTTAAAATTGATGATTATACTCCAAAAATATTCCAGTAATAGTTATTTCGAAATAAAAGTGAAATTTTACTGTCAAACGTAAGAGCTGGGTTTGCTTTTGTCAGTGGAAACTAAAAGTGGTAGAAAAAATGGTAAGATCTTCTACCCCATGCTTAGAGCAACCCCCTTTTATAACCCTCTCAGGGAAATAACTCTCACTATAGAGGCGACATAAGGTAGTTGGCACCTACAATAAGCATATGGCACCGGGGATCTATTTGGGTCTCCACTAAAACTGATGTTGACAGTGAGGAGGTTACACAGCTCAGATAACAGATGAGCATCAATGGACGAGGACGAATGTTTATGGGCATGCTGGTTGGCACTTCACTTTACAAGGCGGAGTTTTTGAAGAGGTCACTCACTGAAGTTGTGTTTGAGCTCGGCCACCTCCTGCAGGTGGATCCAGCGTAGCTTCTCCAGTTCCTGCTGGTAGTGCTTGTTGCTGGTGCTGCTCTCCTGGAGAACACAGAGTGAGTGAGTGAGTGATAGTGCTTGTTGCTGGTGCTGCTCTCCTGGAGAACACAGAGTGAGTGAGTGAGTGAGTGTGTGTGTGCTTGTTGCTGCTCTCCATGAGAACACATACTCAGAGTGAGTGAGTGAGTGAGTGATAGTGCTTGTTGCTGGTGCTGCTCTCCTGGAGAACACAGAGTGAGTGAGTGAGTGAGTGAGTGAGTGAGTGAGTGAGTGAGTGAGTGAGTGATAGTGCTTGTTGCTGGTGCTGCTCTCCTGGAGAACACAGAGTGAGTGAGTGAGTGAGTGAGTGAGTGAGTGAGTGAGAGAGAGAGCATGTGGCTGCCGGTGTGGGTGTGCCCTGTTGGTGTGGGTGTGCCCTGTTGGTGTGGATGTGCCCTGTTGGTGTGGGTGTGCCCTGTTGGTGTGGGTGTGCCCTGTTGGTGTGGATGTGCCCTGTTGGTGTGGGTGTGCCCTGTTGGTGTGGATGTGCCCTGTTGGTGTGGGTGTGCCCTGTTGGTGTGGGTGTGCCCTGTTGGTGTGGATGTGCCCTGTTGGTGTGGGTGTGCCCTGTTGGTGTGGATGTGCCCTGTTAGTGTGGGTGTGCCCTGTTGGTGTGGATGTGCCCTGTTGGTGTGGGTGTGCCCTGTTGGTGTGGGTGTGCCCTGTTGGTGTGGATGTGCCCTGTTGGTGTGGGTGTGCCCTGTTGGTGTGGGTGTGCCCTGTTGGTGTGGGTGTGCCCTGTTGGTGTGGATGTGCCCTGTTGGTGTGGATGTGCCCTGTTGGTGTGGGTGTGCCCTGTTGGTGTGGGTGTGCCCTGTTGGTGTGGGTGTGCCCTGTTGGTGTGGGTGTGCCCTGTTGGTGTGGGCTGGTCTGGAAAAGGGAGGAGACGTAATTGTGAGTGGGGGATGTTTTCAGGTTTAGGTATAAAAGCTGAGGTTTTGGTGAAGTAGCAGTGCTGAGGTGAGTGTGGGTACAATAAAGATTGCACATGTATTGTTACATGGAACTTTATACTTATTGATGACCACTGACTCAGGTTGACCTTATTTTCGAGGGAGGTGTGTGTAATATTGCTGTGACTGGTGTTGGTGAGGTGAGGTGAGGTGAGGTGAAATTTGGTTTAACATCGCGTCCAAGATTATTGCGCTTATATAGCGACGTGCATGCACGTGTATGTGTGTGTGTGGCTGCTTGTACTAGTCCGGACTGATGCCGATTTATAGTGCTAGCACACTGATATATTATGCCGCAGTTTAACATGGATACCCCACTCAGACACAGTATACTGACTCTGAGCTGACCAGTCCTTGTTTTAGCCCTTTAATGCCGAGCACCAGACAGGGTAACAACAAGTACCTTCTTTTAACGTCTTTTGGTATGACGCGGCCGGGGATCGAACCCCGGACCTTCCGCTCTCCGGGCAGACGCTCTACCACTAGACCACGGAGGCGGTCTGACTGGTGGTGGAAGATGTACTGATGTTGGTAGCTCAGCTCCTGGGCTGGGCAGTGCAGCAGTACTTACTGGGATGGCGTTCTTCACAATGTCGGTGCACATGTCATCCAACGAGCTCTTGATGGCATTCAGCAACTGTCAAAACAAGATGGGAGTGACTGTACTTCGAAAACATGACATGCTTTTTTCAATTCTCACCTGAACCCAAAAACTCTTTATTGTCAACAAGAAGAATTAATCAATATACTTTCCTCAAGAATGCCGTCATGTACCAATATTATGACTCACAAAAGGTATTGCCAATGTGATGTTTTGCACCACAATACAAGATGTGGCTTGTGAATGAGTGATGAGCCAATTTTAACGCTGCTTTGAACAGTATTCCAGCTATATTACGGCACATTGGCTTAATGTGGGAGGAAAGCCCAAAGTGATGCACATCTCAGACATTTAATACATTGGTGAAACCCATGAGCACGGGTATGATGCTGACAAACCTAGAAACACAGTCCTATGTCTTTGGCGTGCCCAAGGGACGCAACTCTGCACTTAAGACATGTATTGTGAGCTCACGCAATCACGCAAAGCAACAGCTGTGGACACAGAGACAATGAATGCATGTTACTTGATAAACAAATGATTGGGAAAACACAGATGTTATGTGCAGGAGTTGTCAGGAAGTTATCAGTTGATACCAGTGTATGTCATCAGTGGAGTTTCTAGTCCTTCCCATTGATGATGGATACCGGTAAGTATGTGACAGGTTTATCATTTTGTGTATTTCACCATGTTAGTACAGGACATAGGCTGTACTGCAATACAGGGAACCCCTACACTGGCATCAACACCTACCTTGTCCTTGTACTTCTTCACAAGTTCCTGAGTTTGATGTTTGGAGTTGGGAGATTCCTCGTCACTGACAAAGAAAAGATGAAATCTAATTATTGAGATGTTCTTTTGGGCGGATACATAATTTAATACTGGTAAGTAAATATGGTTCTCAGGCACTGGTCAAATGTCATATTGCTTGATAAACATACGTGTCTGCTCATATATGAACCAAAATGCATCATACTTTTAAATTTAAAAGCCTAATTCAACAACACAAGTCTTATCTCCCTTGCACTTAAGGGAAAACATGCTCAGGCAAATTGTTTAAAGTTTAGGGTGCACAAGTTAGTGCGCCAAATCCCATTCTCAAGGCCTCTGTCATACCACTAAATTTGTATTGACATCCAGCATACTGCATTGTAGGACCTGTGAAGATCCGGGGTAGAATAGGTCTTCAGCAACCCATACTTGCAGTAAAAGGAGACTATGCTTGTCGTAAGAGGCGACGAGATCGGGTGGTCAGGCTTGCTGACTTGGTTGATGCATGTCATTGTATCCCAATATATAGCACTGTATTGTCTGGTCCAGACTCGATTATTAACAGACCACTGTCATATAGCTGGAATATTGCTGAGTACGGCGTTAAACAACTAACCATCAACAAGAAGCAGAATACCACTGAACAGGTCTCGACATCCAGTGTACAAAAAGGAGCTTGGCACCCTCACAAGTTTGCTCATCCTAGATTTTCTAGAGTGAGTGAGTTGGAATTTTTAGCAATATTCCAGCAATATCAAGGCGGGGGACACCAGAAATGGGCTTCACACATTGTACCCATGTGGGGACTTGAACCTGGCCTTGGCATGAGGAGCAAACGCTTTAACCACTAGACTACACCACTGCCCCACGATTTACTAGAATATCATATCTTTGTTCCATTATGACCATAAACTGGACCCATCAACTACCATCATCTTTCTGAAGCAAGGGAGTTAACTGACTATAGAAGTCCAGGCTGGAATAAACAACATGGATTTCAATGTGCAGATTTCCATTGACTGCAGGATTTGCAATGCAATACCGTCAACTGGGCGTCAACACATATTTTCCAAACCTATTCATGTTTCTTATCAAGGCGCTCAAGTGACTTGCACTTCAAGAGGTAAGACCAATTTTATAACAATACAGATCTTGACTATCAACATGATCAATTATCATTATAGCCACTGGTGACGCTATGATCGAGCCACAAAATTCAAGCCTAGTTAGGCAAGGGTGGAAACTGGACTTTTATTGTCAGCTAAATGCCCTTGCCACGGGAAGATGACTACCATAGATTCATTTGGGAAGTAATGTCATTGTCTCCATCCCTTCAACCAGTCACTTCCCACACAATTTCTCTTGCCCATGAGTGTAAATTAATTGGATGGCTATGTTCATGATGTTCAGCATCAAATCAGTCAAATTGGATTCAAAATATAGCTGTGGTAGGAAAAGTGACATTTAATGCAAGTTTGCCACAATGTGAATGTAGACATAATCTGCTGCATCATCAAGAATGTAAACTAAAATGTCTCCTAACTAAAATCTTATGTTGATATTACTCAACTTTTGATAGGGATGATCAGATATGTGATTCAATTTAAATATACACTTGACATACAATGAGAATCAGTTGTAAAGGTATCCCTATCAAAAGTAGAGTAGTATATACATCAAGCAGTTTAACGTTATCCCTAGTTCTTTCATATTGTTCCACTTACTCTTGGATTTCTTCAGCATCTGGAATGTTTTTCTCTGAATTTTCCTCTGATTTTTTCTTCTTCCCACCTGAGAACAGGGCCACCTTCATAGTGTCCCCTGTCACGGGGAAACTTCCCGGTCCACCATTGGGGGAAGCATCACCAGTCTTAGCTGGCTCTGGTTTCTTGGCTGATGGTTTTGCACTAATTGTCAGGGAATTGTCCTTGATCAAAGCCTGAGCTGGAATGAGCAAAGGTGAGGAAAGAGGCGAAGGCTTTGGGGCAATGTGCTTCAGGAAGCTCTGCACCACTACGGGCCCAGGTGCTTTGTCAGCACTGACTTTACCGTGAAAAGAAACCGTAGTTGACTGCACGTTAGCTTTGGGAGAAACTGAGGTAGGTTTTGGCGATGAACTTTTTGTACAAACAATGGTTTTAGGTGCAGATTCACTCTCTGAGTCATTAAAGTCTATCACATTGTCTTCATCCTCCGAGTCGACCTCCATTACTAGAGAAGGTTGGAACTCATCATCTGGGATCGGCTCTCTTACTGGAGCCTCTTTATTGCTGTCATCTTTAAAAGAAACATTTTCTGAACACTTTTCTTGAGCACTTGTTTTTGATTTGTCCTTTTCTTTTGATACATCCATCTTAGTCTTGGAATCACTACCTCTCACACACTCACTGACTTTACCGTCTTTGGCAGTATACACAACATCCTCATCGGCCGAATCGGTTGGCGTCTGCCTCCCTTCAGAAGAGACATGCCCACTTTTACTATTGGAGTCAACTAACGCTGCTCTTAATTTTGAAAATTGCTCAGCATTGTTTAATGTCTGTTCACATTCTTCATCTGTTTGTACGGGTTCTTTCTCAGTATCTTCTGGGTCTTTCTCAGTCTCACTTGGATCATTCACAGTCTCTTTTGGGTCTTCCTCAGTCTCCTTCTTTTCTACCAGCTTTTGCTTCACCTCAGTTGATGACTGTTGTCCTTGAGTTGTCTCCTCCATAGGATCAACCTTTCTATGCAACCCAGCCAACTCTTCACCATGTTCATCTGCCTCTTCCTCACTGGGTTTAGCTTCAGGTTTATCAACACTATCCTCCACACTGACCTCTTTCACTGGGGACGTTGCCTCACTTTCGGAGCTATCAAGCACTTTGTCCTCCACGACATTTTCACCCTCACTCTCAGAACTCCCATCTCCTAATATGGAATCGTCAATACTTCCTTCAACCTGGGCCCTGTGCTGGTCAATACTTGTATCAATACTTGTATCAATACTTGATTTATCGTGACTTCCTTCAGCTCCCTTAGAATCCTCCTCTAGTCTATCCTTCCTTCCAACGACCTCTGCAGTCTTGTACACATTTTGATACGTCTTTCTTATTACAACAGGATCTACAAAGGGAGGTAAATCTGGACTTGTTGCACTATTGTCTGTCGTTTGTGACAAACTTTTACCCTTGGTTGTTACAGTGAGAGAAGCAGCCTTCCTGGTTGTGATAATACTATTGTATTTGAGTCGGACTGCCGAGGCAGTCTTTGTGACTGATGACTTGGGATCAATTTTCTTTCGTTTCATGACATTGAAAGAATGAGATGTTTTGGGGAACTTTGCTGTGTGAGTTATTGCAGGAAATTTAATCACTTTCTTAGGAAACATCACTTTAGCCTCCTTTTTCTGTAAAGGTGAGTACGTTCTTGTCTTGTCATAGGGGGTGCGGAATGGTGCGTACTCATAGTTCCCAAATCTTTCTCTGAAAAAATGCAACATTACAAAATGATGAAAACTGTAACATTACAAAATTCCACAATGAGCGAGTGAGTTGGGATTAACATCACTTTGTACAGTATTCCAGTTATATGATGGCACGTCAGCTCAACTGATGCAGGGCTCGTTTACCACTGTGGAGAAAACCAGGAGCAGGGGTATGACGCTGACAAACCTAGAAACCTTATTGATGTTCAGTTTCAGAATTCAAGTGTGCACTGCAAGGGCACAAAAGGAACGAAACCACTAAACAGTACAACACAATAATTTTACAAAAATCAGTCACTTATGCCAAAGATTGCCAGATTACATGAAAAGTGTGAACGTTTTTAGGCTCTGCTTTAAACAGTCTTTCAAGTATATCAAGACGTGTCAGCTGGATGAAAAGAAATGCCTGAAGTGGTGCATGTCTTAGACAATTACAACTTTGTTTAACATTGTCAATTTTCTGTCCTATATGACTGGACCACCTCTGCAGTCTAGAAGATATAGCGTCTACCCGGAGAGCCGAAGGTCGGGGGGTTTGATCCCTACCCGCATCATACAGAAAGACGATAAAGATTGTACTTGTTGTTTCCTTGTCTGGCATTCAGCATTAAGGGGATAAAACAAGGATTGGTCGGCTCGGAGTCTGTATACTGTGTCTGAGTTGGGTATTCATGTTAAACTGCAGCATGGATTCTCAGTGGACTATCATTAAAATCGGCATTAGTCCGGACTAGTACAAGTGCAATAATCTTGAACACAACGCTAAACCCCATTTCACCTCCTATATGGCTCCTACCTGAGTTTCTCAATGTGTGTGTTGGTTTCATCCATGGCGTTATCGAAGCCTGCTTGCCGTTTGTTCCTCATTGGTGTCGGGATGTCCTCCGACAACATAAACACCTGAGACGGAGGCACCCATGACCGATCATGAGCCCCGAAGAATCTGACGTCCACCAGTCCATCCTGTTCACGCAGGGCCTGGGGACAAGGGATGGCCATAGGTATATATCTCATAGTTAATCAATCACCTACACAGGTAATTCTTATAAACAGAGACTGTGATCTCTCTAGACATGCTCAGAGGCTGACGCTCTGCCCCAAGACTGCAGAAAATGTCAGTAGAGGTGACTTGTATTTCACTGATAACAAGACTAGAGTTGGGTATCACCTAGTATCTTGTGATACGATTTGTATCACGATTTGGACTGACGATACTACTGGTATCATGATACAGAACTTCAAATAGTAGTGAGTGAGTGAGTGAGTGAGTTTGGTTTAACGCCGCTTTTAACAGTATTCCAGTTATATCACGGCGTGTCAGCTAAATGTGGGAGGAAAGCCCGAAGTGATGCAGGTCTCAGACGTTTACCACTTCGGTGAAACACACGAGCACGGGTATGGTGCTGACAAACCTAGAAACATAATCGGGGCGAACCGGGATTCGAACCCACAATCATAGGTTTCTGGCGTGCCCAAGGGACACAACTCTGCACAGCGAATCGCGGCGCCTTAGACGACTCGGCCACCCGTGCCCCCACTTCAAATAGTAAGAAATGATGAAATCATGGAAAAATACCCCTTTCTTCATACTTTTCCTTTCTTCATACTTTTATTTATTGTTATCTCAAAAACTTTAACAAAGAAAACCACAAGAACAAAACAGTTTACAATGAAGGGATGGTTGCTAACTGTGACAGCTAGTTGGCGCATCCTTAGCCACCATGTTCTCGCGTTCTGCCATGCTTACAGGCGCCACGACTTCTGCCATTACGGGACGTAACTCTATTAGTTCCTGCTCTATTTATAGCATATCGCAATCTCACAAACTGGCACTTCTAGTATCGTGTGTACCTAAGTATCTACGATATCGTAGGTATCGGTGAATCGCTACAGCCTTAGACAGGACCAATATGGAGGAAGATGCTTTAATGCTTAGTTTAACATTATTGCAGTGTTAAAATTGAATTTTATATTACCTCTGAAATTAGGAAAATAACATTTTTTAAATATCTGAATATTGAACAAAAAAAAACAGTTTCTTTGCAATTTTTCTAACACATTTCTCTCTGGCACAAGGTGATTCTTCTGATATGGAAACAGTATGGTGATGCTGGAGATTAGTTAAGACTGGAAAATTCAAGGATCTCTTACCTTGGCAGGCCAGAAGGGGTATCCCTTGAGTTTGGCCCACACCAGTGGATGGGGTTCCCTCTGAAATAATAACATGAAGTGTGTTAGTTTGTTGGTTGTCTGTAAATTATCAAGTCTGGGTCAGATAATCCAGTGATCAATAGTGCATGCAATGAAACACACCCGTCGGTACGATCACACGCAATCACAGTAGTCACTGAGTCTGACCACCCGATCTGTCAAGTCGCGTCTTGATGGGGAGCAATTCGGGCTTAAATTGAAGTAGTGAGGTCTCATAGTTCATGTATATTTAAAGACCTTACATTATATGAACTCTATACAATATGAATCCAATACACAGGCTTTGAAACACATGTCCCAGAGGTTCATATTTCATATAAAAGTTTCTGTTTCACCATAAGGCCACACTTTTTTAACTTTATGTTTCACAAATGTATTCCAGCTTTTCCACACAAGGATGGTTCAAATAATAATAAAAAATGAATGTCGGTTATTTATTTTTTTACATGAAAGTCATTCTGCCCTGGAGTTGAAACAGCAGGTGGCACCTTGAATCATTGAGAGTAGACATGGAATTTACCGGTACCGGTATATCTAATTATAACATTTCCCATTGTATAAGAGGGTCTATATTACGAGATATAATAAACATAAATATTTTTATGTTTAATTGATTTCTAAGAAGGATGCTTTTCAGTAGGGGTGGCGGGCCAGTTAAACGAAAAATAAAAAATGTGTCAACATATCACACTTCTTCTTCCTCCCAGGGAGAAATACTCACACACGGTTCACAGAACCACTCATCATTCCTCTTGACACAGGAGTTGAGGTAGCAGTCGGGGCACACTTCAATCTCACTCATCTGAAGAAACACATTGTTATTATTCCTGAGAGGTTGTACGAGTAAACTACAGCAACAAAACTTACTTGCACATTAAAAAAATACTCTAGGGAGCAACACTGTAGCATACATTTATTCATCTCAAATCTAGAGGTGTAACAATATGGTGGGGTCGTGATACAATATGTATCTCGATGTGATGGGTGCGATATGATTCGTATCCCGATACAGTATTAACAAAGTTGTCATTTGTTATTAAATTTCAGAGATCAAAGATGGGATATTGTAGGCAAGAAACATATTGGTAGCGGACACTGTGAATGTTATGCTTTTCGTGTCCAACCATGAAATACTAGAGAATCCGCCTAGTCTGGTTGTTGAACAGTCTCTGTTATTATTTTACATCAGTGTTCGAAATACCTGCCTGCCCGACCGTCCAAGACAGGTTGATTTCAACTCGGGCTGCCAGATTTTCAAATCCCCCTGCCCAACGGTCGGGTTATATTTCATATGTGAATATATTCTAAATATTTCCCGATGATAAGCATTAATTTACATGAAAAGATGAATGATAAAATGTAACCAAAAAGTAACCCCGTTAGCTTTTAGACAACCTAAAATTTAATGATGCGCTTATGCTACAAGCGGACTGTCTATATACACGATATCGTGCAAATAGTGGACCAATGCCGTGCAATATACACGACTGGAAAACTCCCTTCTCCGCTGTGAGACGCGAACGCTGATTGGTCAATTTCCTACGCAACAAACCTGGTTCCCGGTCTCAGTTGCGCTACGCTACATTGAATATTGCTCCCCAAAATGGTAACTCTACACCATAGTGCGGGTATCGTTTCTAAAAAGGTATATCAAAGATAACTAGAAAGTGTTTTTACTCGTAAAAACATATGTCTCCCCCCACTCCCCTAACCCCCATTCATTCGTTTACTTCACGTTAAACCCCATCTCTTCATTCCCACCCTCCATTACTAAATAACAGAGACAAAAATAGAACTCCTAGAAATTTCAAACAACTAATGGGCACCACTTCAGTGCTGGGTTAATGTGTATACAAAGTTTCGCGAAAAAATATTAAACGGTTTCTGAGTTATGGTCCGGAAACCAAGCTTACCCCCATTCAGAGCTTTGTTCAACTTATCTCCATGGAAATGAGAAAAAATAAAAATGTCAAAAATCTCTAAATAGCAAAAGGCACCACTTCAGTGCTGGGTTAATGTGTATACAAAGTTTCACGAAAAAAATATTAAACGGTTTCTGAGTTATGGTCAGGAAACAAAGCTTACCCCCATTCAGAGCTTTGTTCAACTTATCTCCATGGAAACCAGAAAAAATAAAAATGTCAAAAATCTCTAAATAGCAAAAGGCACCACTTCAGTGCTGGGTTAATGTGTATACAAAGTTTTGCGAAAAAATATTAAACGGTTTCCGAGTTATGGTCAGGAAACCAAGCTTACCCCCATTCAGAGTCTATGTTCAAGTTATATCCATGGAAACGAGAAAAAATAAAAATGTCAAAAATCTCTAAATAGCAAAAGGCACCACTTCAGTGCTGGGTTAATGTGTATACAAAGTTTCACGAAAAAATATTAAACGGTTTCTGAGTTATGGTCAGGAAACAAAGCTTACCCCCATTCAGAGCTTTGTTCAACTTATCTCCATGGAAACGAGAAAAAATAAAAATGTCAAAAATCTCTAAATAGCAAAAGGCACCACTTCAGTGCTGGGTTAATGTGTATATAAAGTTTCGCGAAAAAATATTTAAACGGTTTCTGAGTTATGGTCCGGAAACCAAGCTTACCCCCATTCAGAGTCTATGTTCAAGTTATCTCTATGGAAACGAGAAAAAATAAAAATGTCAAAAATCTCTAAATAGCAAAAGGCACCACTTCAGTGCTGGGTTAATGTGTATATAAAGTTTCGCGAAAAAATATTTAAACGGTTTCTGAGTTATGGTCAGGAAACAAAGCTTACCCCCATTCAGAGCCTATGTTCAACTTATCTCCATGGAAACGAGAAAAAATAAAAATGTCAAAAATCTCTAAATAGCAAAAGGCACCACTTCAGTGCTGGGTTAATGTGTATACAAAGTTTCGCGAAAAAATATTAAACGGTTTCCGAGTTATGGTCCGGAAACCAAGCTTACCCCCATTCAGAGTCTATGTTCAAGTTATCTCCATGGAAACGAGAAAAAATAAAAATGTCAAAAATCTCTAAATAGCAAAAGGCACCACTTCAGTGCTGGGTTAATGTGTATACAAAGTTTCGTGAAAAAATATTAAACGGTTTCTGAGTTATGGTCAGGAAACAAAGCTTACCCCCATTCAGAGCCTATGTTCAAGTTATTTCCATGGAAACGAGAAAAAATAAAAATGTCAAAAATCTCTAAATAGCAAAAGGCACCACTTCAGTGCTGGGTTAATGTGTATACAAAGTTTCGCGAAAAAATATTAAACGGTTTCCGAGTAATGGTCCGGAAACCAAGCTCACCCCCATTCAGAGTCTATGTTCAAGTTATTTCCATGGAAACGAGAAAAAATAAAAATGTCAAAAATCTCTAATTAGCAAAAGGCACCACTTCAGTGCTGGGTTAATGTGTATACAAAGTTTCACGAAAAAATATTAAACAGTTTCTGAGTTATGGTCAGGAAACAAAGCTTACCCCCATTCAGAGCCTATGTTCAACTTATCTCCATGGAAACGAGAAAAAATAAAAATGTCAAAAATCTCTAAATAGCAAAAGGCACCACTTCAGTGCTGGGTTAATGTGTATACAAAGTTTCGCGAAAAAATATTAAACGGTTTCTGAGTTATGATCCGGAAACGGTGGGAACGCCGATGCCGACGGGAACCGTGCCAAAAACAATATGTCTCCCTCCATTCTGGGGGAGACATAATAAAAATTCTTTACTTGTTCATAAAATTGTAATTTCTTCTCTAAACATCTGTGAAGATATAAAGGTTTGCTAAGGTAGATAAACCAGGTATCACAGTTAGTTAAAAGTTTTGCAGTCGTAAAGACATGTTGTGAACATAGAGATCATAAATATTTTGAGTAAACATACTTTACCTAATGAGATACTAGTTTTTTTCTTGCATTACTTCATGTTCAATGAATTCGATTTAAAGTTTTAATCAAATTATCCTGAGAAACATATGATTATAGTGGGCAGGCAGGTTTTGGTCAGGGCTGGCAAGTATTTCAGCTAGCCAGTCCTGTGGTCTGGCTGAAACTTTTGGGAGTTTCATACCCTGTTTACTTGTGTTTTGACCAACATAACTTGTAATGAAATGTATCTATGTTTCGTGATACAATACTGTATTGCCATATCATTACCACTACTCATTTCATAATAGATTTATTAAATAAATGCCTAATTTCTCTGTTTGTTCCATTTGATTTTACTTGCTTTGATTTTACGATTTTACAAAGTGGCTTTTCCACTTTGACATAGGCTACCTTGGAGATAAACACGCTGTCTTATCAATGTAGACCTAGTGACATGTGCTTATTTGAATTTTGAACCAAATGCAAAGCTTGCAGTTCAAAAGCTAAACATATTTCCATCAAATGTAAATATATACTTGTCTTGCAATGTTTAGTTTTAAACTGCACACCATGATATACGGCAGAAAAGCAGCAAATTTAAACTCTTTTCCCCTAAAACTTGAAATGCAACTCCTACTTGTTGGACAGATAACAAAGAAGCATTCATCAAATCAGCTGTTTCAGTTAGACGTTGTAACAGTGATTTGACACCTCTGATTACCAGTCCTACTTTTCCAAGTCATGGGAACAGGTTGTATCTTGTGAGTGATTGACAACCACATGATGTGGGTGAGACTAAGATTGTAAGGACAGTGTCTGGCAGTGGGGAACAGACAACAGTTGGAGACAGTCACCTCGTGCCTGCAGATCTTGATAATAGTCTTGGCAGCAGCTGTCAGCTTGTTGTGTACTGTAACAAGTGAAAGAAATACTTATCCAATACAGTCATTAAAAAAGGTTATATCTATTCATGGATTGATTTCGCTCTATCCAAGCTGCACCCAGTGCAGGTAAAACATTGCTAGTACAGGTAACTTTTATAGCCAGGTTGCACCCAGTGCAGGTAACATTTTCCACCACAAGTGCACAGCAGCAGTTGTATTTGATAAAAGTGGAAAACTGAATTCTTTTGGAACTGGCTGCAATTCAAATCTGCAAATCAAGGTTATTTTCTCTTTGAATATATTTCAAATTCAAAATATCTGAAAATACAGGTTTCAATTTATGATTAACTGGTGCAGCCAATATTTTGGTTGTGCAACCTGAACAATTTACTTGGTTGCAGCTGGTGCAGGGGTAAAACAGAATGAAATCGTACCCTGATATTGAACCTACCGTTTTTGCAAAAATAGATGTTTCAAATGTAGATTTGATACGTGTTGCTTTTATTTGAAACCCCACAAAGTGTGGACACTATTTAAAGGAATGGTCAGGCTGTGGTAACTCACATCCATTGAAGATGATACAGTTATGTAGAATCCACTTGGCATCTGCCATGAAGGCCTCGGTGCACCCATACATCTTCTTCTTGATGCTCTGAAAGAGATCATCCATCCCTACTTTAGTGACAACACTCATCTCATACAGGCACAAACCCAGCCCCAGTGGAATCAAGTGGAATATCTACCCTTAAGTTGAAATTGTAAATCTGTTCCGTATGATCATCTTAATGTCGCTTACGATGGGGATGTAGGTTCTTAGATTTAGTGAGCGATTGAATGTACTTCATGCCTGAGTCAGCAATATTCCACAATACCCAGGCATCCCCACGGGGAACACTCCACAGCACAGAGACAGCTGTGTCACGACACTGACCACACACAACACACTTGGATCCCCACAGCACAGAGACAGCTGTGTCACGACACTGACCACACACAACACACTTGGATCCCCACAGCACAGAGACAGCTGTGTCACGACACTGACCACACACAACACACTTGGATCCCCACAGCACAGAGACAGCTGTGTCACGACACTGACCACACATACTACCCTTTGATCCCCACAGCACAGAGACAGCTGTGGCATGACACTGACCACACACAACACACTTGGATCCCCACAGCACAGAGACAGCTGTGGCATGACACTGACCACACAGAACACACTTGGATCCCCACAGCACAGAGACAGCTGTGACACGACACTGACCACACACAACACACTTGGATCCCCACAGCACAGAGACAGCTGTGATACGACACTGACCACACATACTACCCTTTGATCCCCACAGCACAGAGACAGCTGTGACACGACACTGACCACACATACTACCCTTTGATCCCCACAGCACAGAGACAGCTGTGACACGACACTGACCACACACAACACACTTGGATCCCCACAGCACAGAGACAGCTGTGGCACGACACTGACCACACAGAACACACTTGGAACCCCAACAGCACAGAGACAGCTATGGCACGACACTGACCACACATACTACCCTTTGATCCCCACAGCACAGAGACAGCTGTGTCACGACACTGACCACACAGAACACACTTGGATCCCCACAGCACAGAGACAGCTGTGTCACGACACTGACCACACACAACACACTTGGATCCCCACAGCACAGAGACACCTGTGTCACGACACTGACCACACACAACACACTTGGATCCCCACAGCACAGAGACAGCTGTGACACGACACTGACCACACACAACACACTTGGATCCCCACAGCACAGAGACAGCTGTGGTACGACACTGACCACACACAACACACTTGGATCCCCACAGCACAGAGACAGCTGTGGCACGACACTGACCACACATACTACCGTTTGATCCCCACAGCACAGAGACAGCTGTGGCAGGACACTGACCACACACAACACACTTGGATCCCCACAGCACAGAGACAGCTGTGGCACGACACTGACCACACACAACACACTTGGATCCCCACAGCACAGAGACAGCTGTGACACGACACTGACCACACACAACACACTTGGATCCCCACAGCACAGAGACAGCTGTGTCACGACACTGACCACACACAACACACTTGGATCCCCACAGCACAGAGACAGCTGTGGCACGACACTGACCACACATACTACCATTTGATCCCCACAGCACAGAGACAGCTGTGGCACGACACTGACCACACAGAACACACTTGGATCCCCACAGCACAGAGACAGCTGTGACAAGACACTGACCACACACAACACACTTGGATCCCCACAGCACAGAGACAGCTGTGATACGACACTGACCACACATACTACCCTTTGATCCCCACAGCACAGAGACAGCTGTGACACGACACTGACCACACATACTACCCTTTGATCCCCACAGCACAGAGACAGCTGTGACACGACACTGACCACACATACTACCCTTTGATCCCCACAGCACAGAGACAGCTGTGACACGACACTGACCACACACAACACACTTGGATCCCCACAGCACAGAGACACCTGTGTCACGACACTGACCACACACAACACACTTGGATCCCCACAGCACAGAGACAACTGTGGCACGACACTGACCTTTTCCAGTATGCCAAGGTCCATAGGATGGAAGACATAGTCACTGTAGTGAGGTACAGAGGCAGGGTCCACGGCCTTCATGAATGGGTCAGACTGTAACAGAGCGGCCGTTAGATGACAATCCCAGAGGTAACATGGTCAATGTTGACATAGCATTTTTATACAGGACAAGATTACAAACATGAACACATGTATGAGCAGTACGAAACTATTTCTTGCACAACTGTTTCCGAAAAGTTGACAGTGAAGTGTACTTCTGTTGAAAGTCTGAAGATTATATATTGTGATGACAGCGAGTGAGTGAGTATGTGAGTGAGTGAGTATGCCACTTTTAGCAAAATTCCAAAAATATTACGGCGTGGGACACCAGAAATGGGCTTCTCACATTGTACCATGTCGGGAATCGATCCCGGGTCTTCGGGATGACAAGCGAACGCTTTAACTACTAGGCTATCTGATGACAGCCAAAATACAGGATCTATGTTAGTGATGTGATAGAGGTAGGATGTTCGAGTTATGAGCATATGTATGGGAAACTTTATGAAAACTGCCCAAGCAACCATCAATTCAAACCCAAAGTGTCCCATGCCTCAGTAAAGTATTTCATAAACTGGGCAACCAAATGAACACTGCTATTCTGAGCTGGGTCCCCATGGATGTTAAATCTTGAAAACTAAATAAAAACCTATAAAACAACTTTCAGCAAGTTGTAATCCTTGAAACAGTTTCTGACTTTTCTTTTTTTGATTATCTGTCTAAGATTTTTCTTGACATGTTACCCCGCCATGTTTCATCCTTTCCAGAGCGAACTTGAGCAGGAAGCAGAGGGTTTCCACGGTGATCATGGCCATGGCGTGAGACCGGGAATCCGTACACTCGGCTCGCAAGATTTTCTGGAATGACGAAAATATGCACATAAACTACAGTGATGGTGACTGATGTCAGTTTGTAGACCTACCAGTGCAAAACAACTTTAAAAAGTAAGATAATGCTTTCCTAACACACACTTGAGACACACACAGAAGCCTCTACACATCCTCACCAGCAGGACCTGACAGGCAGCAGGACACACACCCAGCATTAGCACCTCACACTTAGAACACACTAATACCTTATAGATCACAGTCAGGATAGGCTCAAGGAAATACAATGATGACATACTCCATCACAATATACCTCACAATTAGGGGAGGTGAGATCAATGAGGTTAAACGTTGTGTTCAAAATTATTACACTTATTCAGCGAAGAGCACCTCACAGGGCTACACAATTCACTTAGGAAACACTCGCAGTGCTACACACCCATAGTGCTAAACACCCCACACGTAGGAAACACAGTGCTACATACCTCACACTTAGGAAACACTCACAGTAGTACATACCTCACATTCAGGACACACCCAGTCCCTGGGGACATCGCTGACCATGTCCAGACACTTCTTGTGAAAGACTCGAGGACACAGCTCACAGCAGATGAAGCTCCCTTCCTTGTGGCACACCCAGCAGAAGTAGTCGTTCCTGTTACCCTGGATACAGACAGTTGTTCAGACTAAGTATGAGTTAGATTACTGATATATACCTCTAGACCATCTGGACCTAATCCTCCTACAGTGTGTGAAGACAAATCAGGTGGGAGGTTAAAGGGCAAGGAAAGTCAACATAGCAACTTTGCAGATTTTAATACTTTGGGGCATACTAAATCACAAATGCATGACAAAAATAATATTTGAAAAACAGAAATAGCGTAAAACAGACGATATAAAATAACACACGAAATCCTTCGCCAAATGATAAAAATTCCTCCAGTAAGGGGAATCCCCTTACTGGAGATTAAAACTGGTTCCCAGTGTTTGACACGCTGCACAATTTCAACAATCATGATGATCGGACCTATGCCCAGTCTGCCTGTTTCTGCCTTGAATTTTGTAATACATTATGCTGCTCATCCATTTGATTACCGTGTCCACAACTTATGTCATCAACAACACTGACGATGCCTTCAATTGTTTACTCAGGGGATTAATCCTTGACAGGCATTTATTGGTTGGAATAGGGCCAAGGGCAGCTGGCGTTTATTACCCAAACAGGATGTTAGTAATAATACGCTAGTTGCTGATTTTTTTTATTCTATGTTATTTTAATTAAATCACAATGTCAAGATAAAAGGTCAATTCCCACATTTAACAATGTATGCAATGAAGGATGCAATTATTTTTTAAGGATCAACAGAAATAGCAGAAACAGTATACGCATAATAGCTATAAGAATCACAACATAGGTAAATGCTGCAAACATAATATCAGCTAATGAAAACAGTTGTCAAAGCTACAACGGTAGCTTTAGGTGAGGGGAGGTAAAATTGGGGTTAAAGATTATTGCACTTATATAGTGACGTGCTTGCTAGCCCACTGAGACACCATGCTGCAGTTTAACATGAATACCCCACTCCAACACAGTACACTGACTCAGAGCCGACCAGTTCTTTTTTTAGCCCCTTAATGGTCGGTTGGTTCGTTGTTTAACGCCGCACTCAGCAATATTCCAGCCATATGACAGTGTACTGTAAATAATCGAGTCTGGACCAGACAATCCAGTGATTGATATCATGAGCATCGATCCACACAATTGGGATCAATGACATGCATCAACCAAGTCAGTGAGCCTGACCACCCGATCCCGTTAGTCGCCTTTTACGACAAGCATAGTCGCCTTTTACGGCAAGCATGGGTTACTGAAGACCTATTCTACCCCGGAATCTTCACGGGGCAGCCCCTTAATGCCGAGCGCCAGACAAGATAACAACAAATACCATTTTTGGTATGACGTGGCCAGGGATCAAACCTCGGACCTTCCACTCTCAGGGCCGGACGCTCTACCACTAGACTACGGAGGTGGTCAGTAGCTTTAAGCTATGTCCCCAGTTGTTTTGGAAGACGGTTACGGAACATGAGATTTTAGCTCCCTTCCTCTCCCTCTCTGAAATTGCTTAATGGATCACAATCAATTTGTTTTCACTTTACTTGCCCTTTAAGAAAGGAGTTTTGTAGACATTACCTCTCCAGTTCCATCATTATTGCCGATCTTCCTTTTCTTCGGTGGCAACTGTGAAATATCACTTCCTGTAGACACACGCTTCCGGCCATGTGACACAGGTGAGTCGGTAGTCAAGACACCAGCTGATGAGGGAAAGTGGAAATTAGTGAGGTAAGGTGGTGAAATGGGGTTTAACGTCACATTCATGATTATTGCCCTTATATAGCAATATGTTTGAGTATGTGTGTGTGTGTTATATGTGTGTATGGGGGTGGCTGTATGTGTGGCTGTGTGTTGTAAGTGTGTATGGGGTTGGCTCTGTGTGTGTGTTGTGTTGGGTGTGGTGTGTGTGAATGTGGGTGTGTGCTTGTACTAGTCCAGACAAATGACGCTTTTATAGTGCTAGCACACTGACCACAGGACCAATAAAGAGGAAAAGGTTTTAATACTTAGTCTTTTATTACTGCATTGAAAGCAATCTCAAAACACAATGTTAAAATACCTCTCAATTAAAAATTTCCAAAAAATCACTATTTTGAAGAAAGAAACGATTCCCCCCCCCCCCCCCCCCACACACACACACCCCAAATTGCCTGCCAGGAGCATGTCAATCCCTAATCACATATTGTTGGGCACCATTCTGCTCACTTTGTTTTTCTCAGCACAAAATTCATTTAGAAAATTAATTGTATGACAAAAGCCTGGGAGTGCCCCTCTTCGTTTACTAGATTTACCTCTAGCAGACGTCATCTTTTGGCTGTCATTTGAGTCATCAGAGCCCTGGACCATCTTGATGTCCTTGAATGTTTGAGTGCCGTTCATGTGGAGCGTCCCGGTGGAGAGACGTGTCCGGATATTGCTCTGTCCACTACCACTGGTGCTTGGAGACTCAGTTTCTGCTGTACAAGATGACATTGTAATCATTACTTTCACCAGCTTTCATTACTGAGTATACAACAGTCTTTTGTTCTGCATATTGTTCTGGTATACTACTAACATCAAACAACACGTTCACTCTTCCGATGCCTTGACAAAGCTGAACACATGCCGTGCTACATTCATTATCCCCAACAGCCATTGTGGTCAGATCACATGATATCGGGAATGGTCAATGTTTCCCCAACTGCAAGAAATATGAGTTGGCTATTCATCTTCTTATATTCAAAACATTACTTTTGAATAATATTTTTAGAGGAATATGTCATGAGTCTTTAGTTTTCTCCAATAATAAATCTTAAACCACAAAGACAGTATCTGAATCTTTTACAAACAAAAAAATGAAATTCTGTGATTCGACAATTCAAATGAATGTCTGCTATGGTGAAACTATTTCCTGTACCAACCTTTTTCCTTCTCCATCCTTTCTGTCGGGACAGACCTTCGCCGCTGGGATGATTCATCTGCACACAAGATGTTTTCCATGAATTATTCCTTTCTAAAATCTCCTAATCAAGTACAAGCTATCAACAATTACGACATACATCTGTGCAAAAGACCAGCTTTTTCACACTGTTGTTTACTCATGTCAGATTTTTAGATTACAGTTTTTATTTTCATCACCTTCACAAACAGAGGACTGTATAATGTGCTCCAGACCTCTCCCCTGCTTGTGGTAGAGCCAAGGGAGATAACTGGTGATGTGTTGGGGAGATATATTGATTACTTTCCCCTGGACTCAAACGTGACAAGCTCAAGTTGTTCCGACACTGAAGGCAATCAGTTTCTTACAAAATATGTAATATAGTCCAAGTTAAAATCAATGTTTCTAACACGTATAGCACAGTATACCAAAGTGGACTTGGTTACAACATCAACATCAAACAGCAATGAATACAAAATATATCACACAATACAACAATACAACATACAACACAATGGTACATCATCCTTCCTCTGACTATGATAGATCAGAATTACCCACAACATGAAGAGTAGGTTGTTTACCTGGAACATTCAGTGGCAACAGACCCAACCGAGTCATGAATTGTGTTTGCCGGAGGTTCAAGGTCATAAGCTGCTCCAGCTTGCCTCTGTTGTTATATCACTGAGTCATGAATGTCGCTGTGGCGGGATTCACCACAGATTCTGACCACAGGTTCTGGTTCAGGCAGCTGGCACTGTTACAATGTTGCTAGGAGTTCATTATGCTGGCCATACCATAATTACAGGGCCTGCTCATTCCGTCAGTGGAGCAAAGACTACCACAAACTTGGCACAGCTTCGTTCAATTTACTAGGCCTGCATGTCTAGGGATATACAAGAAATCTCACTCGCATATGATTTCATTTTGCGAGTTGAACCATTTTTTCAACTTGAACATGACTTTTGACTGTCAGTGTTGGAGTAAGATATGTTATTAGGTTAGGCCAACAAGATGGAACTATCTGTGGAAAACCTTTGTTTGGTTTGTTTGGCATGATTTCATTGTCTCTGCAATATTTTTGTCTGGTATGGTGTGAGCGAAGTTGATGAGTATAATGATGCTAACAGTTGACATGATTTCACAATATATGGAAAAACTTTCACTTTATCTAAGTGTTGAGATTCCTTGCTTAAATACAGATTGACATTGATTTCACTTAGTCGTATTGAGATGGCTTTGCTTGTATGTACTGAGATGGTTACAGTTGGTTGTACTGAGATGGTTTCAGTTGGTTGTACTGAGATGGTTTCAGTTGGTTGTACTGTGATGGTTTCAGTTGGTTGTACTGAGATGGTTTCAGTTGGTTGTACTGTGATGGTTTCAGTTGGTTGTACTGAGATGGTTTCAGTTGGTTGTACTGAGATGGTTACAGTCGGTTGTACTGAGATGGTTTCAGTTGGTTGTACTGAGATGGTTTCAGTTGGTTGTACTGAGATGGTTTCAGTTGGTTGTACTGAGATGGTTACAGTTGGTTGTACTGAGATGGTTTCAGTTGGTTGTACTGTGATGGTTACAGTTGGTTGTACTGTGATGGTTTCAGTTGGTTGTACTGAGATGGTTACAGTTGGTTGTACTGAGATGGTTTCAGTTGGTTGTACTGAGATGGTTTCAGTTGGTTGTACTGAGATGGTTTCAGTTGGTTGTACTGAGATGGTTTCAGTTGGTTGTACTGAGATGGTTTCAGTTGGTTGTACTGAGATGGTTTCAGTTGGTTGTACTGAGATGGTTTCAGCTTGTTGTACTGTGATGGTTTCAGCTGGTTGTACTGTGATGGTTTCAGTTGGTTGTACTGTGATGGTTTTAGTTGGTTGTATTGAGTGATTGAGTATGGTTTTACACAGCTTTAGCAATATTCCCACAATATCACGGCGGGGGACACCAGAAATGAACTTCACCATTGTACCCATGTCAGGAATCGAACCCATGTCTTCAGTGTGACGAGCGAATGCTTTAACCACCAGGCTACCCGACCTGCTCTGGTTGTATTGAGATGGTTTCAGTCGGTTGTACTGTGATGTTTTCACTTGACTCTTCTGAGATGATTTCTGTGTGTTGTATTGAGATGGTTGCTTGTCAAAATGTTAAGCACTCTTCAGCCATTTCGAAAAGTGAAATAATAATATATGTGACCCACCAAGAGAAAAGGGACCTTATGGTGCTTGGATATAATTGTGCTTTGACGTCATAAAGACGTTTAATGTCAACTTACTTCAGTGAAGATCACCATGTGTGCGGACTTACAACAATATCTAATTTTTCTCTCGTTAGTTGGTAATGTAACAAAAACATTATTTCAAAACATTTCAGCATACATGTCTACTTTCAATTCATCAGACATTATATCTAAAAATTGCTATTACCGTATTCGACGTAATAAGCGCCCAGGGGGCTCTCAAAATTAGAAATAGGGGGCTCTTATTAGAATATTATTTCGGTGGGGAAAAAAAATGTCGTGGTTTATGCTGACAGCCTGAAATGTTTATGTACGGCAGATATATTTTTCCAGAATTTAATTGCCCATAATTAAGGGTGCATATAACACACGAGTGCGTATTGTACGCGAATAAATAAGTCTTGTGTACATTGATCAATCCGAAGGGGTGCTAATTTGGATTGTTCACTAGCCAATATATTAGCAAATATCGCCGTGGGCGCTTATTAGAGCAGGGCGCTTATTACGTCGAAAAGGTATTACTTAAACAGTTTTAAGTCAGAAAATGAATCCAAGTGTTTGATGTTATGTATCTCTGCAAAAAATATGAATTGGAGCTTGTGAATTGTATTTGTGTGTTTCAAAGATACTGTAGTTTTAAAATATAATGAAAAGTCAAATGTGATTTTTCACCCATAAGTTCCCTTATCTCATGGCTGGTCACATATTTCATCTTTACTATCCATTTAAATGGGGCAGATTGCCTTAGCAAGTAGCACATTCTTTTCCTGTTAAAACAATAAATATTTTTTATGCCGTTTACTGTGCAGTAAAAATTATAAATTAGCCTGAGTTTTAAGAAAATATTTACTTTCTGCTCCTGAGGCTTTGTTCTGTCGTTATAAGTGAAACTGATGTTCTACATTGTATTAATGTTTATACAGCCTTCAAAATTCACGCTTGTCGACTAGCCCAAAACTACTAACTTTTGCTGAAGACAAGGAAAAACATCCAATGACAGCAGTCCTCATGGACTTGCAGCGCATTTGAGCGTTTTAATTATGAACCAGTTCTTAAAGTTCTAAATTTTGTTACAAATTGGAACTGAATAAAACTAAAAGAAAATGTAAACTCCATAAAATATGTTGTCTTGTTCAAGCAGGACTAGCTGCAAACTGGAGACTAGTGACAAAAGATTTACACTAGTCCTTGGGACTAGTCTTGAAACTATCTTTTATCTAAGGCTGTCATAACTATGGATCAATTGAGCTCTCTTCCTGTGACACACATTTCTATAGAAAGGACAATGGGAAAAATATAGAATAACACCTGTTTCCAACGTGGAATAACAGATTATCAGTCACTTATTAACTCATGTTGCAAAATACCTCAACAAGGCTTGTGATTAACCAAATTAATTTCGAGGCTGCATGATAACCAATGATTGTCCTGGACTGTGTGGATCATTGATCATGTGTTCAGTCACTGGATTGTCTGGTCCAGACAAACATGACTCAGGTGGGATATTGGTTTACTCCCAAAAAGCCCACATGTAAAGGTTGCTTAAGCATGCCACTGTTGTTACAAGCACAGGATCTTGTGATTGAAACATGACGAAATGTCCCGAAGCGATATCATAAATACTAATTTAACATGGCTACTGGTAATTGTTTTCTTTTTCATTTGCATACGCCTACAGCAAGTCCTGAGGATACTGTTTCTGCGCCTATTCTTGATACAATACTTGCATCCTTCAAAGACTTAATTACAACCACCAAACCACATGAAGATGAATTCCAAACATCAAGTTTACATACCACAATAGTTTGTTGTTAAACGCCCCACTTAGCAATATTCAAGCAAAATGACGGTGGTCTGTAAGTAATTTAGTCTGGACCAGACAATCCAGTGATTGATATCATGAGCATCAATCCACACAATTGGGATACAATGACATGCATCAACCAAGTCAGCGAGCCTGACCATCAGATCCCGTTAGTCGCCTCTTACAACATGCATCGTCACCTTTTACAGCAAGCATGGGTTGCTGAGGACCTATTCTAACCCGGATCTTCACAGGTCCCACAATTGAGTAAATAGGATTTATGAAACTGAGTGAACATTATCAATGAAACTGATCTTCGTCCACTTGTTCAGTAATTTCACTTGTCAGTTTATTAAAACTTGGGTGAACTAAGTTCATCATTGTTAATTTAACTCATTTTATAGATAATTAGATTTTTTTCAAGCAGAATGCACATAAAATGCCTGTGAGACGGCCCCTATAATCCTCCATTGTTTCACCAATCAACATGCTTTATTGGTTTCTCTACCGTAGACAAAGGGAAGTCCCTGGGATATTGCTACCTGCACATTAAAGAGCCAGTATGTTGATGGTTCTGGGTGTCATAAATCATGCATGAAATAATTTCCGAGTGTGACATCACACCCTTAGTTCATGCACAATACAATTCTCTAACCAAAACAATAGAGTTCCACACAGCAAAGCCGGTCAACAGCTCCACACAGCAAAGCCGACAACCTGCGCTGCAGAGAATAACTGGCTTCGGTCATGTTTTTATTAGAGGAAAATCGAAGAGAAAGCTTTGTGTGTATTTTTTACAGATGAATTACAAAATACCAATTGCCAGATTGCTTGCATTAGAAGCTAGTGTTTATCAAAGACCAGATTACAATATGAATGTCTCAGTCATATGAAGCCAATCACTCTCCTACCCAGAGTTCCTTGTGGCCAGCCTAGCTAGTACCTCTGTCACATCATCACATCGAACATAGTCCATTCAAGATATTGCACATGTTTTTCA